AGAGAGAGAGAGAGAGAGAGAGAGAGAGAGAGAGAGCGAGCGCGCGAGAGAGAGATTGACTGATTTTCAAGGTAAAGTGCTCCATAGTTGGGCATAGTGGTCTTGGGTGTCAAGAATTCTGACTTATCTGCATTTTTCCTATGATTGCTCACATGTGGCATTGCTTGTTTTTCTTCTAGGATGTGGAGAAGGAGAAGGAAACCCACAATTACCTCAGCAAAGAGGAAATCAAAGAGAAAGTTCATAAATATAATTTAGCTGTCACCGACAAGTTGAAGATGACCTTGGTAAGCACCCATAATACTTTTCAGGTTGACAGATGTCAAAAGACAAATATAAGTTGTTGGTACTACACTCTATCTGTATGTTTTAAAATCTCTGGATCACACTTGTAGAAGTTTAATGAGCAAGATATATAGGATGGGAAAATGGCACGTTTCTGCATCTTTCAGATTAAAGTTGTATTTTGAAGTAGCTTTATCTCAAAATCAATTAAATGAAGTAAAATTTTATTTTAAAATAATTTTTTGTGGAACCCTGCCCCGCCCAAAGGATTTTTAACATTGAGTGTAATCATTGTTTAACATATAAGCGGTACCTCAGATTCTAATAAGACCTTAGGTAAGTTTTATCTTGTGTAAATAAATCTCGAAGTATCAGGAAAGGGATTTTGTGCCAATGGGTGGGACTAGGGCTGAGCTAGGACTTTTGTCAGAGTAAGAGGAAGTATGTACTACTCAGCTTCCTACACAGTGTAGATTCAGGCCTCTGCAATAGTGTACCGACACTGTGTGACAACAAAGCTTGAGTATTCACGTTCCTTTAAACCGGACTGGCATCTGCCTCGCCTACCCATTTGGTGACTTTCCTCGAGGCACCTGCCATCCCTTGGTGCCAGTTTCTAGGGCCCTTGGACCCCTGCCTCTCAGTCTATTGACTGTGAACTGACAGAGTTCAGCAAAGGACAGGGTGACCTGTTTAGAACAGGCCCTACTGAATTCTGTGACCCTGGAGGAGGAGCTTTTAAATATAAACCCTTGTGATAAAGGATCCCTCCCTAGTGGGGCTCTGCCAAAAAGGGGAGAGGGGCAGATGGACTCAAGATTATTCTTCATTATTTCAGCAGTGATATTTCTCCTTTTCAAGCACAGTTTTCATCAAAGAAAAATTCCACTCCCTCCCGCCAACCGTGGAGATTAAAACAGATGCAAGTTTCCATGTTTCAAAGATAAAACATTTTAAGTGTTGTTCCACAAGACTGAACAACTGAATTAGTATTGTAAGCTGATCTTGTGGAAAGGAAGAAATATAATGGACCATAAAGGAGGTTTTTAATGTCCTACTTTAACTGTGCCATTTATATATAACACCTTAGGATTTATGGAAATAGAACATTGCAATAAATTTTTTCTAAATGTACTGAGTGTAAAAAGAAAAAGTGAAGACAGGACCGTTATTACTATTTTTGGCAATTAAGAAATAGTAATTCTACCATAAATTGCTAAAACTCATCAAATGGTGTATATTAAATATGTGTGGGGTTTTTTTTTTGTTGGTTTTTTTTTTTTGGGGTATAAAAATTATACCTCACTAAAGCTAGTAAAAATATATGTATATATATATATATATATATATATATATAGGAGACATAAATACCATGTTAAAATAAAAAGGACAAGTGCTTATATTGTAATATCTGTACTTCACACTGTAGCTTGAATTCGTTTTAAAAATATTGCTGTTTGAGGTGCCCGAAATGCATTGTCGTGTGACTCATTGCTATATGGGATATGTGTTTTATAAAGGAGTTTTATAAAGCAAACTTGGTAATCTAGCACATACCATAATAGGCAGTAGGACTGCAAAAAGCTTGTTTTCTTACTGTCCACTCCTTGTTGACTTTAGGTATTTCAAAGTCCTAACCTTTTTTGTGTGCGGGGAATAGCTGGTCATCGGTTGCAGATGTCATTTCCTTTGAGCCGTTAGCCCAGGCCTCCCCCCCCCTCCCCCCCACCGAGCTCTATAAGCCGAGTGGCTAGGCTAGCATCTGCTCCAGGGGACTGTAACCTCACCAGTGGGCCCTGACCCTTCACATGCAGCTTCAGAGGCGTGAGTCTGGGACTTCAATGGGCCACGGTCTTCCGTCGCCACATCTGCCCTGCAGACCTTGCCTCTGGAAGCACTTTGCTGGGGTGTGTTAACCTCCCGCTGAGGTCATTCCTGTGGGGACCATCTCTAGTGAAGTTCAGCCTCAGGGATGTAACAGACAAGAACAAGAGAGAGAGTGTCTCACTTCCTTGATTTGTTTTGCTTGTGCGCCTTCCCACCGCTGCCACCCTCAGCCCCAAATAAGTGTGTATTTTCTTCCCGCTTCAGAATTCAAATGGGATTTACACTGGCTTCATTAAAGTACAGATGGAACTCTGCAGATCTCCACAGACTCCCCCGAACTCTGGAAAACCTGCTCCCAGTAGCAATGGTTGTATGAACACTCTTCACATCAGCAGCACCAACACTGTTGGGGAGGTGATCGAGGCCTTGCTCAAAAAGTTCCTTGTGACCGAGAGCCCTGCCAAGTTTGCACTTTATAAGCGCTGTCACAGGGAAGATCAAGGTACACTGCCACGCTAAGAACGAAAATGATCTCTGCTCATATTAATGCCTTTTTTTTTTTTTTTTTTGGTCCTCATTAGTAGAAGGAAGACTAGTGCATGTATGTGTGTCAGTGTGTCAGAGCCAGGGACAGATGCTGGAAACCATGGTGACCATGGCATGCGCTGAATGCTGCCTGGCCGCCCATATGTTTGAGTTAGGCATTTGTGCACCTGAGGAGCTAGGGGGCATCCACGTGTGAGGGGCATTTACGGAGGATTTTGTGATGTGCACAGGGGGATAGCTTTGATTTTTTTCTTTTTTTTTTTTGTATCTTTGATGTTAATGTTCTTGAAGACAAAAAAGAATACTTCTGTGCTTGAAGTTTTCAATAGCACATCCCACGTTTGATGTGCATCTGAACTTGGAGTGGCCTGGTGGACTTGTGTTCTCTGAGACCTTGAGGATGGGGAGGCCCATGTGTGTTAGCACACATTTCAGACTTAATGACGTACATGGCCCAGCTCCAGGCTCTTCTGGTTCCTTAGCTTGTCTCGCTGGCCATTACACTGGGCATTGTGGCTCCCAGCCCCCAGCCCACCCAGGCACATACGGTGGGTGAATCACACTGGGATCTGGGGTCTCCCTGTCTGAACTTAATACCCAACATTCAGTTGACAGAAAGAGATTATTAAATTACTGCATGAAACAGATTAAGATATTTCAGGTCAGGTACCCGAGCAGAAATTGATACTAGTGGTGGACCACAGTGACTGAGTGATCCACTAAGTGCTAATTTGAAAATGGGGTGTGTGTGTGTGTGTGTGTGTGTGTGTGTGTGTGTGTGTGTGTGTGTAAGTAAGTAAACAATCAGTGATTTATAATTTTTTCTAGTTTCTCTGAATAAAGCCTTAAAGCAGCTCTAGAAAAAAAATAGGCTAACCTGACATGATAGGAATGCCCTCAGTTGCATGGGGATGAAATCTAGCTACTTGCCGAGTCTGCGGACATGTTTTGAACACATGCCATGGGCTGGGCCCTGGGAATACAAAGATGGGCAGGCTGCGGTCCCTCCACTCGAGGCCACAGGCTCAGCAGGGTAGGCAAGTTTATAGCTATAAGGAAATAAATGAGCACCTACAACGCAGCTGTATCCGGAAGTGCCAAAATAATGCAGATGAGCTCAGGCAGAATTTTTATCTTACCAGCTTCTTTGCCTGCTCACCTGGACTTCAGCTGTACAATCTGACAGTAATAGCACCCTATTGAAATAGTACCCTTATGGCTGGCACATCTTTCAACACTACAAGCAATGTGTGTGTGTGTGTGTGTGTGTGTGTAGCATGAGACAGACAGAGCTGTGCTTGTAGTCACCAGAACTTGTAATCTGATTGCTTAGTGTGTGGCTGCTGATTCTAAATTAATCTGCAGAGAGATTTGCTCCTAGAGCTCTGATTTCATGTTCTTTGGATGGTATATTTTTATTGTTTGTAAGGGGGTTGCAGATCCTTTTTGAAGTTTCTGCTCTTGCTTTCTAAAAGGAGGAGCAGAATTAATTTTAAGCCCGTTTGGGGACTAATACCCATTTAAATTCATTCCTGAAAATTATTTCCTTTTTGATCAAGGCACAGTTTATATTCTGCAGCTAGAATGAGGATAGTATAGATTTCATTCCACCCTGGGCTACTTGTAATAAGAGGAGGAGGATGGTGACTTGTGGGCTGGCCTAACAGGGACTGTTGCCTTCATCTGGCAGGGGGATGTAAGAGGGCGCGGGCGTGTGGTCCAGGGAGCGAGTCAGTACTCTGTCTGTGACGTGCTCCTTGTTTCCTCACGCAGTCTACGCCTGCAAGCTTGCAGACCGGGAACATCCACTCTACCTGCGTTTGGTAGCAGGGCCAAGAACAGACACACTTAGTTTTGTTCTCCGTGAACATGAAATTGGAGAGGTAAGTGATTGTACATTACTGCTTTAAACTATACAGAGCAGCTGGCCTTGTTTTATTGCTTTAGCCTAGTGACTTGACCACTGGAAAGGGGGAGGGGGCGGGGAGAGTGAGTCTCTCCCTCTCTCTCCCCCTCTCCCCCTCTCCCCCCCTCCCTCCTGTCATGGCAGGAGGAGAGGTGGTCCTGTGGAGAGCAGCTTTCTGTGTGTTTTTGAATTGTTAGAAACAAACCCAAAGTTAGTCTATAAATCTATAATCTAATCCTTTTACGGCACTCATATTGGTCTGTAATTTTCATAGGGGGAGGAAATAAAATTTTTTTACTTGATCTCCACCCAGAGAGTCATTTTCATCCCTTCTACCTCCGAATTCCTCTAATCCAGCTGAACTTTGAAAGCTGACACTCTCCATATGTTCGCTAATAACGAGTCTCCAGGCTAATTCGCTCTAAAGAGAAATGAAACGGAATTCAGTCTCTTTACCAGGAGCGATGTTTAACTTTGTAGAACGTTTGTTCCCTTTTCCCAGATGATTAAGAAATCATGTTTATGCGTGTAGCGTCATTTACCATTTTCTCTGCAGGGAGCATTGTATTTAGGCCAGTTCAGGTGAAGGAGAAAGCACTTGTTTTTTATTTATTTTTTTTTTTTGAGAAAAACACTTTTTATTCTTGTTTATTTACAGTGAACCATGTTTTTTTTAAATTATTTTTTATTGTGAAATACACATTTTTTTAGAATTAGTTTCAGCTGTACAACACAGTGCAATAGTTATACTTTTTACCCCTCGAAGTGACCACCCCCCTCCCACAGAGAAAGCACTTTTTATTTAGACTGTCCTCCCAGATCAAGTATCAACTTTAAAACGGCACTTAAGTAAACCTCTCACACTAAACCTCTCAAACGCTGGGTCTTAGTCTTTTGTCTGGAACAGGAAATGGTATGAATTGTCCATTTTGTGAGGTGGTGAGAAAAGGGTTTCTAGGTTAAAAGCGAGGAAACCAGGACTCTGCTCCCTACTTACCCTCTTGTTGGATTCGGAGTGTGACCTTGGGTAAACCTAATGTTTTCAGTCCTCAGTTTTAAAATCTGTAAAGTGGGACTAAGGATTTTAAAAGGTGGTTTTAAGTCACAAATTAGAAATGTATGTAAACATGCTGTGTATTAATGTTCCAGATGGCTTTATTAGACCTCTGTGGGGTGTCCTTGTTTCTCAGTTTTTTAAGGTTAACTGAATTGAAGGAAGAAACTTTCCACAGATGTCAGGGAGTGGGAGGAACTTACTTTATTTGGGGGAACATATGTGAAAAGTAAAATGTTAATTTTTAAAAATTAACAGACTATCCCAATGTAGAAAGTTTTGCTTTCCTAGTCCATGTTTCTCATTTTCTTTAATTACGAGCTCAGAATTCATCTCTGGGAAGCCACCTTCTGTCATTGAGCCCGCTTGGTCGTTTTATTCCGTCCCCTGTCTGTTCACTTAGATTAGATTATCGCCAGGCTTTTCCCTGCCCCACACCCCTGTGAGTTCTCCATCGGAATTGTTCCTGGCTGTGGCAGTGATTCTCAGCCAGGACTCAGGGCTCCCTTTTGGGAGGAGAGGACATATTTGGAGGGGAAAATAAACCCAACCTCCCAGGGTGGGGCGGGTGATGACAAATACCATTCTTGACATCTACTGCTCTTATATTAAAAAATCTCAAACAAACAACCCCCCCCAAACAAAAACAAAAACAAAACCCCCACAAACATTTATTTTGTGCCTGCTAAGTACCAGGTGATTTTATGGAAATAGAACTCAGTCTCAAGGGCAAGAGACAAAGCTCAAATAGTGAGAAGTATGACAGCTGCAGTGTAGGCAGGAGAGATAGTCAGCAGATAATTATAATAACTTTTATATCTTTTGTGATCAGGGTTACCAGTGCTCAGTGAGGGCTTTTTGATAGACCTAATCCTTTCTAACAGACTTACCTGGGAAGGGAGGGGAAGAAATCATGGAAGCCTTCTTAGAGAAAGTGGCATTTAAGCTGAGATGTGAAGGTTGAGAAGGCGTTCGCCCTGCAAAGTGGAGGAGGGGAGAACATGCACAAAGCCACTTGAGGTCGTAAGTGAGGGGGGCAGTATGAGAGAGGTGAGGGTCTTTCACACTTGGCAGAAACAACCAAGGGAAGCCACTGAATGAGCCTAAACAGGGGAGAGTCATGATCAGATTTGCATTTGATGAAGAGTACAGCAGTCTCTGCTAATCCATGGGGGGATACATGGTAAGACCCTGAAACCATGGATAGTACCCAACGCTATGTATACTGTTTTGTCTTATACATCCATACCTTTTCACTTAAAGGAAGCACTTTACCGCTTCTCTTTGGCATATCTGAACTGCCAGCATCACTACCCCTGTGCTTTGGGGCCATTATTAAGTAAAATCAGGGTGACTTGAACACAAGCCCTGTGATATCGGGACCGTCAGTCTGAAAACCGAGACATCTGAGTGACCAATGGGCGGGGAGCGTCTGCAGCGGGGTGCCCTGGGCAAAGTGGGTGACTCATGTCCTGGGCAGCATCGAGTGGATGGCTCAAGATTTCATGTTACTCAGAATGGTGCACCATTTAAAACTTAGGAATTGTTTATCTCTGGAATTTTCCATTTGATATTTTTGGACCACTGTTGACCGTGGGTACCTGAAACCATGGAGAGTGAAATCGTGGATAGCGGGAGGGACTTCTGTGTTCAGGCTGGCTGTTTGGGGAACAGATTGGGGAACATAAGAGTGGATGGAGCAAGGAGGCCATCCCAGGGTAGGAGATGATGGTGGCTAGCAGTAGTGGGCCGTTGAGATGGAGAAAAGCAGGCAGATTGGAGAGCTGTTTAGGATGTGATTAAATCTATTGTGGGAGGTAAGAAAGAAAACAGCGAGTGACAAGGATGAATCCAAGTAGAGGGAAGAGAGTGTTTTAAGATGGAAGGAAGGCAGTTTTTGCGGGTGTTAACCAGGGATGACAGACTCTCCTGCAGGTCGTGGGACTCTTGGTGTCACCCTGTCTATGCTGCCTTCTCAGACCACCGGTGCTCTGATAATAAACGCTTATTCTAGGACCCCCCCCCCCAAAAAAAGATAAGATGGAAGGCGTGTGGAGTTGTTTCTAATGCCCCTGGGGGTCAAATCAGCGGTGACTGTGTCTAATGGGAATCCTTGACCTTGGTGAGGGCCATTTTGGAGGACAGTGGAAGGAGGGTAGTGAAAGGGCAACTGGAGTGAGATGAGGGGGGAGTGGGAGTGAAGGCAACGGTAGGGCTGGTAACACAGCTCAGCTCTTACAAACCATGGCGTCTGAGGCACCAGGCTGTGAGTGCCCCTGAGGGGAGGGCAGCCACACCTCCACATGCTCACAGGCCGGCATTCCTAAGTCTTGACCTAAGTCTTGACGGCATTAAACACCTGGCATTTTTCTTCCTGCTTCCTCTCACAGTGGGAAGCCTTCAGCCTTCCAGAACTACAGAATTTCTTGCGGATCTTGGACAAGGAAGAAGATGACCAGTTGCAGAACCTGAAAAAGCGCTACGCAGCCTACAGGCAGAAGCTGGAGGAAGCCCTCAGCGAAGTGTGGAAGCCGGATTAAGGCGAGGGGCTCCCTGTCACTCAGGGAATGGCGCAGGACCTGCGTACAGACCAGCAGCGAGGGTCTCTTCCCGGAGGGCTGTTCTCCTGCCCTGTGATGCGAGGGTCTTCCCCTTTTTATCTCTAGATTTAGTTCCCCAAACGTGGTCACGCAGCATCCTGCACCTTGGGCATCCTCTCTGCAAGGGACTGTGCAAGCTTGTTCTGTTACAGTACTGCGGTGTTAACCTCCCAGCAAGCTGTGAATCTGGCGTCTCATCGCAAGCATTTGAGAGTACTTTGAAGCATGGACTCTGGGTTTTTGTTTTTTATTTTCTTTTGGTTATTTTAATTATGTGATGATGATGTTAAGCTGTAAGGATGTGCAAATGATTTTTTTAAAAGCTTAACAAGGAATCTATCTGAATATTTGTCCTATGTTGAAACTACCTGTTTTTGTTTTTTGTTTTTGTTTTTAAATATCAGAGGAAACATCCATGTAAATTGAAATGGCACAGGAAGCCAGGAACGCTGAGGAATTCGTGAAGGATTTTGGAGGAGCTTGACAAAGAAAGTAAAGAGCAAGTTTGGAAGAAGGTGTGAGTGGAGGTGGGGAGCGCGGAGGGAGGGTGGTTTGGGCAAAGAGCTGATAGTGGACAGAGAAAGGTATATTTGCTTGCAAAGGAGTTAAAAGCATTCAGTTTTGAGATGTTAAACCCATTGTAGGATTGTTTGTTTTCTTGGTGAGTAAAATACAGGGAACAGAGCCAAAGAAAGTAGGAGCTAGACCAAAAAGAGGGACTTGGAACAGCAGCTGACCTGAAATCAGCATCCAGGCAGGTGGGTCTTCCAGACCGAGGCCGAGAGCTGGAGCTGCCCTGGGTGGACCAGCACGTGGGTTCCTCCGTTCTGCAGTGGAAGGTCAATTGGTGCAGCTTCTGGGCAGGTGGAGCAGTGTCCATTTGCTAACGCCTGTTAAATTACAGCTTTTCCTCCAGGTTGTTTTCAAAGCTGAAAAGGAGTTTGGGTAGAGGCAGCTTGTGTCCCCCGGATTGTTAGCTGGGAGATTGGTCAATTAAGAGCTCACAGCACACCTTTGTGACAATCACTCCCTCCGTTTCCCTCATTTTTCCTTTTTCCTTCCCTTCCCCTCCTTTCTTCCTCCTTCCCTCTCCCTCTCTTCCTTCTTCCTTCGCTTTTAAATGGAAGTCTGTTCTGACATAACGGAGAACAGGGTTATCGATGACAGACCTAATACGGTCAGGTCCTCAGTTCCAAAGAGGACGTGACTAAGGCAGAGGGCAGCAAGAAAGGGAGGGAAGTCCACCCGGAGCTGGCCGCCATAGAAGGGCTCTTTATGGAAATATTTTAACACAAGTGCATGTTCCTACCAACCAAAGAAATGCAGGTGCAATAGAAAGCCTTAAAGCAGGTTAAATAACCTCATTTTATGCAGCAAGTCATCCGAAAACAATGGGAATGGTGTGCTGCGGTTCTAGAGGGGGATCTACAGTCTGTTTTTTAGTCTCGGTATTTTTTTGCTGTTGTTTAAATTCCCAAGGAATTGTTAACACTTTGGTGACACCTAATGGATTCTTTGTGAAATTCCAAGGTGCTTCAGTTCTTTGCCTTTTAAGTGAACTGTGCCTTTTATTGCATTTGTTTCTCTTGGTGGCTCCTCTGACTTGTCAGAGAACACCCATTTTGCTGGAGGCAGATGTAAGTGTTGCTTATGCTGTGCCACACACACGTGACTGAGACAATCCTATCTTCCTAAGCTTTTTAAGGAAAGTTGGAAAAAAAAAAAAGTGAAACTAGCTATAAAATATGTATGGCACATCTTGTTTAATTTTGCATGTAACTTCTTTTTAGTGCATTGATGAGGTTTTAGTGTCATTGTCATCCAACACTTTACCTTTATTGTTCAGGGAATGCCTTCATGGTTTTTATACTGGTTTTACTATTCATAGTATGGCTTGGGTTTGAGTATACTGTTATCAACCACCTGGTCTTTTCATTACCCATCCCAGTAAGCTTATATTTTGTGAAGCATTTGTTTCTCAGATTAAGACACTGTTAGAACCTAAAGTAGTAGCTGATGGGCATCTGTGAATTTTTTTTTTCTTTACTTGAAGTAAATTGTCTAAAATAGGCATCCTCACCTGTATTACCCAGAACCTTGCTCATTGTCATGTGCACTACAAGTTGCAATTTGGAAAACTTACTGTACTGAAATTCTGTCAGCTCGTGGTTCTGGAAGGCTGATGTTCTCTCCCAAACACTGGTTACTGCAGCAGCATTGTTAATGTGTAAAAGAAGGGCCACTAAGGCCTCAGATTTTAAAAAATCATTGTACAAATTGTTGTGTTAAATTAAACTAAGCTTTGCTGTAATACTGTTTTCAATATGTGATGGTACAGGAACGATGTTAAATGAAGGGGTAAGTAAGTATTGCAGGGGAGCATTTTAAATTGCAGACATAAAAAGTTATAATATTTATAATTTTGATGAATTTATTTTTTATAGGGAAGATTTTCTTCCCTAAAATTGTTTTTGGAATGGCAATTTGTTTCCATTATTAAAAGTTAATGTTGTTAAGTTGATGTTTGTGTGTTTTTATTTATAATACGCCATATCACAGGAGTGGGAGAAGCTTTTGCAGATACATGGGGGCACACGCTAGAATGTGACATCTTTTACAAGGTTCAAGTGGGGCCCATTTTTTCTACTAAATGTCCTTTCTCCTTTGCCTTATGCTCTGGGAAAAATAACCCTAGCTGAATGTCTGCCCATGCAATACATTCCTGAGACAATCGTTTTAATTGTGAAATATAGACATTCAGAAGTGTATAAGGCATGTGAACAGTTTAAGCAATTATTACATAGTGGACGCCCTGTGGCTACCACCAAAATAGAACATGGTAGGTTCCTTAGAAATCCTCTCCCTCCACCCCCATTGTTGCCCGAGCTCTCCCATCCTTGGAACAGACCACTTTCAACACCAAAGTATTTGTATTTTTTGGTCAGCATGCCTGTCTCACCTGGGTGGGGAATGTTTGGTGGTCAGCAGCAGTGACGGTTCACTTGCTGCCCGTGCACCACTGCCTTCGCCACCTAGGCCTCCAAGCCTGCTGTAAGCAAGTGTTTTTACACTGCACTGCCCCCTAGAGGCGCCGATGAAGTAGGAGCAAGGCCGCGTAGATTGGGGGGAAGCATTTCAAGTACAGTAGCTGCTTTACAAGTGAAAGCATTACGCAAGAAAATGATGGCGCTCTATGGAGCTCCTTTTTCACTGCAAATAGCCAGAGGAGTCTAATTTGGGAGTTCAGCCTGGGTTATCACCCAGGGTGCAGGGGGATGTTTTGGATTTTTTGTCCCTTGAATTAGCTTCCTTGGCCAAGGCTTCAGAATTTGTCACAGATTGATAACTCATTTAGATACATATTCTTATGTTGCAAGATGAGTTCTGAAGAATTGTATACTGCATTTGGGACACTCTGGCAGGTGATCCCAATTAGGAATTTTGGGTTTTTTTTGAAAGAAGAGGGAAAGTCTATATATGATCATGGCAAATTCAAACAAAGTGCTTATCGTGTGACAGGCGTTATTCTAAAAAGCTTAGTATGTATTAACTCGTTTCTTCCCCTCGTCCCCGTTCTGCAGGTGAGGAAGCACACATGCACTGAGCTCCAGCAGCTGCCTATGGGCCCCTGTGAGGGGGTGGCAGAGTCGGGCCCAGCTGCCTTCCTCTCATCTTTTCCTGTGAGTGCTACCCAATTTTTCAGTGAAATAGCCTACTCAAAGCCTGTTAAGGTGGCCTCTAATGGTCAGTTCGAAAGCAGGTCTCTTTTGGTGCAGTTGGGATTGGTGGGAAATGAAAGGATAGCTTTGATGTTAGAATGCTTTATCATTCATTTTTTTTGTTGTTTGTTGCTGTTGTTCATTTAGCATTCCTGTTAAGTGATTATACGAAGTTGCATACACGTAGAGTGAAACACCTACCTGTGTTTTTGTTTACAGGTTCCATTGCATGGGAGAAACTGGGCAGGGCAGGTAATCGACCCCCGGTGTTCTCACCGCAATTAGCCAGGTGATGCCTGGCAACCACCAGAATAGCTTCAGAGTTCAAAGTTCCGGAGGAGCCACCAACTACTTGCAGGCAGGCAGTTTTACTCTCCCATCATGGGTGATCCTCTTCAAAGTAACACAGGAAACTAAGTATTTAACGTCTTTAAAGTGTACACTTGTCTGGTGTGAGTCAGTACTTGCATTCGTAAGTGTGCAAGAAAGCAGCTTTGTGTAAGGATTGGGGGAGGTTGGGGCAGGGGAGTAGGCAGGTAATTAACGACTGCAGGGTTTTTGGTTTGGTTTTGTCTTTGGTTAGTGGTTTTGTTTGATTTTGTTTTGTTTTTTTGGCAAATCTTTCCCTTTAATTCGACAAGGTAAGAATGGCAGGGTAGAAGACAGACCCTTTTGATCTTATAGTTTCCAGAGACAGTTGTGACCCTCAGGATTGGCTGAGGTCCTACTTGGCAGCAGCTGAACTCCAAAAGCTCCTGTCTTCGCATTTCTAAGAAAAGTGAGTATCAGAATTTCTGAATGCTTACACACAAAACAGCAAAACATCAGGGCTCTTTGTATACTTCAAAAGAAGGTGGGGTTTGTTCCATGTCACCCTTTTGCTCCCCACTTGCAGTTTGCTTTTTAAAATTGTCTTCTATGGCAAGGAAGGCGATTGAGCCAGATGCACAGTAGGTCTTGTGAAAAGTTACGAAGCTGGTAGCTGGGAAAGGGCAGTGTGTAGGATCTATTGGAAAAGAATTCAAGACAAAACAAGGTCTTTGCATTGAAATGTTCTAAAAATTACTGTTAATTTGAGGGAAAAAGGGATGAGTTGTACACATTCCTAGTTTTGCCTAGTTTCTGAAAAGCTTGCCAAAGGACAAACAATGATGTTGCTGCTGCTACCAACTACTTGGTTCCCTCAGCAATTTACAGTTTACAGTTATCTGCAGTATATAGCTTTATGCATACGGCCAGTAATAGTCTAACAATATTTAAGCTTACTTTCGTATTACTGGAAATATAGTGGGGTTTATGCTTATTAAAATGAGAATTACTGTTATGGGTCCTTCCTCTTTCCCTTCCTTCCCTTCCCTCTTTCTCTCCTCCACCCTCCCCGCCTTTTTCTTTCCCAGCCAACACCTTGGAACTAACTGCAGTCGTATCTGAGGAATACGAGTATAACTGGTTTACTGTCAGGTTCTGTTATATCTCTTCTTATAACCATCCCTCTTTAAAAAAACCTTTCATTTTATATTAGTTTGTTCTTTTCTTTGCACAAAAAGAAACTTGAGTAGAACACCAAGTATTTTCTTTCATTCAACCAATCTTTCTAAATCGCCCTGAGGATGTTAGGTGCTGGGTGGTTAACGGTGAGAAGGAACATAGCGCCCTTGTCTTCATGGAAACTGGAGTCCACGTGTAACACAAGCTGGTAAGTGTCATGAACATAAAGAACAGTGTTAGGAGAGTTTATTATTTCGGAGGTTAGAGAAGGCTTCCTGGAGGAAATGCTTTAGAGCTGAGCTCTTAAGGATGAGTAGGAGTTCCCAAGTAGAAGTCGTAACTTACATGAAAATTTCCTACACGACGGGGACAGGTTTCTGAGGTCTTTTGGCAGCATGCTACATCAGCATCGCTCTTGCTGTTTTCCCTCTATTACGAGAAAAGAACTTTAACTAGGGCTCAGTAATTCTCCCCAGGATAGGAGTTCATCTTTGGCAAGGGCGGAGTTAAAATTTACAGCGGCAGTTGCTGTGCATCATCCAGTTGTGTTTTTTTTTCCTGTAAAGTGTTTGCTTACCTCATAGGGCTGATGTGAGGACCAAATAAGGTGGTAAATGTGAAGGTACACTGTACAGTATAAAGCCTGATATAGTGCAAGGTGGTATTATTTCCAAGTTGTTCCTACAGTGGTGTTGATGGCTGCTTTACCTTGGGCCAAGATGCTTACCTATCATGACACTAAAATTCATCTGGAAGCATCACCTGGGATGCAGTGTCCAAGAGGGACATTTTGGACTCACGCTTAGGGAAGGAAATGCAGTTAGAAGCAAAACACTCAAGATTCTAGGGTGATTTGGTAGATCAAGAAATCAATATTCAGAGCCTTCCCTTGTGCTCCCCATAAATACAGTGGCAGAGTGTTGTCTTTCTCATTGACAAGTTACAGCCAAAATGCTCATAGCAGCTGGGAGAAGGGACGCCCGTGCTGTCATGGTCACTGTAAGGCAAGAGTGATGCTGAGACACCCACACCAGAGGGCCGCGTGTTGGTACCATCTGGGGGCCTTCACCCGTTGATAGTATTACAAGTATGCATGTGAGTTCTGCCCCCGGATAGGAATCGCCTGAGCGACGGGGGACCATATCTTCAGCCCACTTTGTACCTCTCCGAGCTGCAGGGCACATTTGTGGGACTAAACATTTCATAGAGGTGTCTGGAAACAGCCACCTGGGTTGCTTTGAGGTGGGAAGGGCTCCTCTACAGGCTGACCCTGCATGGCAGCTTCCTGCCTCTCCTCATGCGGTCAGCGTTCATCCCTGGCTGAACTCTTAAGGGCATCATGACCGAGGCCCCCGTTTTTGTTTTCCCTGCTGTGCAGGGACCGGAGCTGGCACCTGGGCTTTGTTTTCTGTGGAGCATTAGGAAAGGCCTAGTCGAAAGCTGAAGGCTGCCCTGAGAGAGGATGCAGTCAGCAGTCACTCACTGCAACCTGCAGAAAGAATCCAGGTGGTCAGGTTGATCTCACACCTAATACCGTTGCTGCTCATCTACTCTGGGAGGTGCTGGGAGACGGGGGTGCTGGGGAAGAAAGTACACAAAGCAGCCGTTTTCTCAGGGACTCAGGCAGGAACAGAATCAACTGTGCTCCTGAGCTACTTTCTGAGCTCTGGGATGAGGCAAGGGAGTGATGACCAATGATCGTGATTTGGATGACAGGTGCCTCAGCGACCCAGCCAGAATCCTGGCGTGCTCTGCAGCTGCCCAGTGCTGCTCCGCCCCTGTACGTGGCTCTGTGAGTTATGGAGACACACGGAGAGAAGACTTGGATTTGTGACTGGAGCCTGCCAGCCAAGAGTCCATTAAAATATTTTCCAGCATGTGCTGAGCACTGCATTGTAGCAACCATTTTAACAAAGCAGCTTCTACTTGGTTTCAGTAGTGTTTATTTATAGCTTTAAAGTATGTAGTGAACATAAGACTCCCCCCCACCCCTTGGAGAGAAGTTGTGCCTACCACTAGATGGCTTTGCCCTGTACCTACAATTGGATAGGTTTTGACAAAAGGCTTGCCCCAGCTTTTCTCTTGGTAAACCAGCTTCGATTGTATTTGACATCTATTGGTGCATCACAGTTTACTTCAAAATCAGCAGCTGAAAACAGCATTAAACATTGTATCCCGTGGTTTCTGTGGGTCAGGAGTTTGGAAGCAGGTTAGCTGGACGCTTCAGGCTTGAGGGGTTGTGGGGGTCTCATGAAGTTGCAGTTCAGATGTTGTCTGGGGCTGGGTGTAGTCTTGTGAACTTGACTGGGGCTGGAGGATCTTCTGAGGTTGCTTAACTAACATGGCTGGCAAATTGGGGCTGGTCATTTGCAGGGGGCCTCAGATCCTCACCACATGGCTGCTTGGGTATCTTCATGCTGTGGTGGCAGGTTCCCTCCAGAGTAATCAGAGAGAGCAAGGTAGAAGCGTCCATGTCTTCTAGGATCTAGCCTCAGAAGTCACACCAGTACATGTGCCGTGTCATTGGTCACATGGACCAATGCTGATACATGTGGGAGGTGACTGCACAAGATCATTAGGAGTCATGATGGACACTGTCTTTCCACAGCCATGCTGGAAATAGTCGAATGAGGTGTGAAGAGAGGAGCTCGGTTTTGACTTCTTTTCCAACAGCTATGCTGTGGAGTGAAACAAGCAGCCACCTGAATGGTAGTGGCAGCTCCCCTTTAGTCTGAAACTGTAGTTTCCTTGTAAATACAGGTGTCAGGGACAAGCTCTACTTTATTTCCAGTCTGTTAATGTTTCATGTATATATTTAAATGCTATTTGGGGTAAATATTTGCAAATGTTAATATCCACTTGTTGGGTTGATCCGTTTATCATTATGTAATGCACTTGTCTTTGGTTAATCTTTGTTTTAAAGTTTATGTTGTCTGATCTTCCTTGACATTCTCTAATGAGCTGTGTGAGCTCTGGTAAATTAAGCCAAGGAAAAAACCCTATCCTGCAGAGCTATTTTTATCATATTTGTATCTCTTTACCCTTTGAGGATGTAGCAGCATCAGTCAGAGCTGCAGGCTAAGAGGATATCTGTGGATCTCAGTCAGGTCTTCTGGGCAGAGGTGGTCATGAAAGCTTTCTCTCAAAGATTTAAAACTTATCTACTCTGCAGTGATGCAGGAGCAATCTCCCATGTCCCACGTTTAAATTCTTGTCTTATGTAATAATTCCTAGGCCACCAGTAGCGGTCTCAGCACAGTGCTTTCAGCTTGAGGCCTTTGGGTTCTCTGGTTGGTTGCTCTTGCCTCAACAAGGTATGCATATGACCGGCCCTTTAAACCCACTGCTGGTAAAGAAAATGAAACAAAAGGCTAATTCTGTAGGAAATTTGGTTCAGCAGGGCTGGGTAGAGTCTCAGTGGGAACAGGTGGGATAAATTATAAAAGTGGATCTGGTAGAGCCTGGACTTGGCCTCACTTTGTGAGTCCTATGCAAATAAACGTTCTTTTTCTCATTGATGGCTTGACACTGATATCCCCAAATTACCTGTTTGTGACAGTGATCTAGCAACTTTATGGGGAGTCCTCTGACATCGTTTTTCTACTTGGTCTTCAAAATTTATAAGATATGCGGCAACCTACTAGGTCTGGGGTTGGCAAGTCATGGCATACCTGCTTTTGTAAATAAAGTTTTGTTGGAATATAGCCACTCGTTGGTTCAGTATTGACTAGGGCTACTTTTGTGCTACAATAGCAGAGTTAAGTAGTTGTAACAGAGACCACATGGCCTGCAAGCCTAAAATATTAACTATTCCTTTAAAAAAAGTTTTTCAACTCCCATATGAAGTCATTCCTCATTGGGGGCAATGGATCACATGACTGGACCTCCAGGTAAAGCACTTTCAAAGGTGAGCTTAGTTTATCTAATTTGAAGCTGCCCAAAGTAAGATGATTTTTCTCCAAAGCTGTAAGTGTATAAAGGTTTGTCAGGAAGGTGCTCATTCAGGGACTTCGGTCAGCAGGGACCACGTAGAGAAGAACTTGCCCAGTAGAGATTACAGCACCCAGCGTGGAAACGGTCCATCCTCCGGTGCCAGGTAAGTGATTAAAATATTAAACAGCATCAAGAAAAAAACATCTTGTCAAAATTACTACTTGTGGACTAAAACAAAGGACACATTTCTACTAGAACAGAAATAAATTTTAATTTGTTGAAAAGTGCAGCAGTGAACAGGGTCCTTTGAAGGGCACTTTCTAAGTCAAATGACTGCAGTGACAGAGTCAGGGCAAAAGAACTTCTAGGAACAGATGATGCAAACATTAGGAATTCACAAAATTCAGTGGCACCTACGTGGTGGTGAAACTAAAGAACCCAAATATTCCCATCTGATGCCAATGGTGGATCAGTTGAAATACTCTTTGCTTTCTCTTAATAAGCAAATTCATCTGGGACAATTCATCTTTTGTTAAAAAAGCACTAATCCTCAATTTAGGCATTTAAAGATAAATTTAAGAACATCTCACAGATTAATGTATAACTTCCATGACTGTCATTATTATTTTGTATAAAACCCCAAGTGTTGTCAATTTATATTGACAAAAAAAGTATTGACCAAAAGAAAAAGACAAAAAAATGTATTTTGCAACAACAGCACCATTGGTCGAATTCAAAGATGTTCAAAAGGTGTTTCCTACTTTGTATTTGAGGAAGAGCTTTGTAATAGGAAATCTTAAAAGGCAAAATCTATTCATTCCTATGGCCTCTGTTCATTACTAATGGGATATACAGTTCTCTATGCTGAAAGGCACAGATAAGGACCTGGCCTTCTTCAAGGGGAAAATATAATCAAAATTTAAATCAGTACAGAAACATGGCAAGCCTCTTGCAGTGGGTCCCTTGTACATAGACATTCTCAAAAGTTCAGTGAGTCTTGTAGTCTGCTAGGCTATATAAGCTGAAGCCTCTTAATGAAAGATGATTTTAGCACAGATCCAGAATGAAGCCAGTCCCAAAGAAAAACGTTCATCAAATTACAGGCCATTCAAGTCAGGTAGGAAATGTACCAAATATAGTATAGGTACAGAGAGCGCCTCACCACACCCCCCCACCCAAACAGGAGTCTGCTGCATATAAGAGCAGTGTGGCACGGATGCTACTGGCAGCCAACTTGTGTGTCACTCCTATGACTTGACCTGCTTTCAGGAACCGGCATCATAAAATGAATTAATGCAATAATATGACATCACAGTACGAGACCTGGTAAGAGTTGGTTTCTTTTTATTCGGGAATAACTATGATCAACTTATAGTAATGTGGAAGTTGACTGATTAATGTTAAGAATCAAAGTGTAGAATAAAGCTGATACCCATATTCAACATTGCATTTTGCTTTTAGTTACAAAATGTTAAGAATTCTGTCCCTAAAACATTCACAGCAGAGGTGTTCACTTCATTTGCCTATTTCACCTCTAAATAACCACCACAGTTAATGGGACTGCATGAGGTAAAGGAATAAACCCAATGGCTAGGAACCCACCACAGCTCCATGGCATTCAGAAAGAAAAGTTCTTTATGGCCATGTCATACAAGGTGCTTAAAGCTCAGCCTAAGACCTTAAATAAGGCTAACGTCACTGGTGCCTGAGGTGAACGGGTTACAAACCACAGCTCTTCCCCCTCCCCTGCTGTTCTACCTCCGATGAGCCTTTTTGTGAAGAAAATGGTGGAAACAGGATTGGTCTTTGAGCCAAGAAACATAAAAATGTAGGTGTTTCAAACTGTGAGGAAACCTCAACAAGATCTGGTTTTGACAGGGGAACAGTGAATGGGGCCCAAATTACACGAGACTCCAAAAACTCAGGAAGAACTTATCTGAAAGGCAAGGAGGTACGGTACACTGCATCAACTCTATCTTAACAAGTGAACAGAATGTCAGCAAAATGCAGAGTCAAAACCACTTCACCCGGGGGACTGAAACCTAGACTCCCTGCCGGACAGGCACTTACCATCCCATTACAGCCTTCAACCTGCCAAGCCGAGAGCCCTAGCTCAGAAGGCCCTCAGAAAACACAGCCTTCACCAACCTTTGGCCCTTCTTTTTCTCTGCTGAGATACCTATGCTAGGCCACTTTATTTTTCAGAGCTCAGAGGGAAAAGTACAGAGCAGAGACATTTCCTCGTTTTGAATTTGCGAGCTTATCACATTGTGATGGATGTTATAAACAATGCATTTCTACTAATCTTAAAAACCATGGTACTTGTTCTTAATCAGATGATACAGCTCTAATGGTTATTCTTCAAGCCAGGTGATGTTAGTATGTTTTGATGGTGAAGTGCTCAATCTGAAATGCTATGCAGATCCTTTGATTTTTATACCAAAGCTGTATACCAAAAACCTTTCCCCCCCTAGAGTATTGCTATTTATCTGAATAGATTTACAGATTTTGATTTGACCACATGGGGAATACTCAGGAACTGTGGTCCCATGACAAAGGGCACAGTGAGAACAAAGACCTCAGGGGCATTCCTTACCAGACGAGTGAAGGGACCAGGGACAGCCACTCCGGACATATGGGCAGAGTTCACAGTTTAACACATTGCACAAGGAAGTCAGCCGATTGGTTGTTTTTAAAATCAGGACTTAAAGCCAGTCCAGAAACTCCTCTTCCAGGTGTGATCTTGAAGACTAGCTACAGACACTTAATATAATCACTTCATCAGAAAGAGGCGTGCAGGGGTCCAACGGCAGAGGTCGCTACAGATGTTTTGAAAACCTTCTAGTCCGGACACTGCCGTGATTGTTGAACATGAGACGAGGGTTAAACCTGTATCTGGGAAAGCAAAATGAAAGGATGGCACATGAACTGTTGTTAGCCATTGCGTACTTCATCCCGAATGTTAAGTGAAAAGGATGGCAGGAAGAGATAGATATAAAGGGGACAATTAAATCACCAGAAGGGAATCTAGTGGCAAAGTTCAGAGTACAAAACAGGAGTGCTCAATAGGGCATTTCCATCACAAGTCAGCAAGCACAGCACAATGTAGTAGAAGTAGAGAGGAGAAAAGAAACAGTGAGGTTAATCCTGAAAGGCATTATAGGAGGCGGCAAGATTTGAGCTGTTTTTCTTTAGGGGGGAAAGGGTGATCTCTAAGACCTAAAGCAGCCTGCTGGAAGCGTTGAGCCCTTGCTGAAAGCCCTACCAGTAGTTTCAAACCCTTTCTGTTCTTTATAGTTAAGACCCAGATTGTTGCAGGTAAGAATGCAGGTATGCACCTCAGGCATGACTTCGAATCTCGCTCATCACGAACTCAGGTAAGTCATTAATCCCCCTGGCCACCAATAAAATAGTAAGCCAATTCATGTACAATGTCTGGCACATAAAATAACTTATTTTGCCACCCAAGGGCAAGTTAGAATAAATGCTGAATGGTAACTTGAGTGGAGACTTGGCAAATGTAAAGAATATAGATTGGGTGGAGAGAGATTTTACATGTGTAGGCTAGAAATACATTTTGCTTTTATCTGCTATCTCTTGGGATAAACTAACTCTTCAGAGCAAGGGCTAGCCAATTTTTTGTGTGTATGTGTGTAAAAGGCCATGTATTTTAGGGTTTGTGGGCCATACAGTCTGTCCCAACGACTCAACTTTGTTGGAGTGTAAAAGCAGCCACACACAATATGTGAATGAATGTGTGGGGCTGTGTTCCAACAGTTGGTGGCTGGGTTGGGCCTGTGGGGTTCTGTAGGCCTAAATGTTTGGGAGGAAAGAATAAGCTATAGCTAAGGAATTTAAAAGAAAAAAATCAGTTCTAAAACTATAATCCAGCTTCTTGACTCATTTACATACATCCCTCTCTAATTTGGACTGAGGATATCATTTCACATGAAGATGTCCAAATAAGTGATTACTTTCCGTTAGCTTAGGACATCATTCTTTCCTTTCTTCTATAATCAGTTTAAACAGCTCAGGCTAACACCAGCAAAGCCAGTATCTAGAATCTTAGTTATAAGCTTCTAGAATGTATGCAATACAATTATAATTTTAAGAAACCAAACAAAGTTTGCCTGGGAGTCAGGAGGTCTTACTCTGTCAGTTCCTAACAGGGTGAGCCTTGAGAAAATCACAACTCCAAGCTCTGCTTCTGCATTTAAAACTTACCATATTTTGCTGTGTATAATGTGCACGTTTTTGCCCAAATTTGTGAGGGAAAAATAAGGATGTGCATTACACATGGGTAGTACTAGTTCCATGTCTATATAAGTGTTTTTAATTCTTTTGTTTATGCTTATGAGTTAAAAGTATAACTCTAGAAATAACGATATCCGTATACAAAATAATACCCTGGAATATGATAATCGGTTTTGTTGAACTTACGATGAGCTTGCCAATAAAGAGTTCTTGGCCTCCTTATGATGCGTAAATATTGTAAACTTGAACTGGTACATAAAATTTCTTGTACCATAATATGTTAAAAAATAAATGCTAAAATTCCTTTATAATACAAAAAAACAAGTACCTAAATGTAAACAAATGAAAATTTGAATTAAAAAATTAAAACAAGATTGTTTTCCCTGCAAGTTTAGGCCAAAAACATGGATGAGCATTACACACGGCATTATACACGGCAAATATGGTACCTGTTTGGGCTCTAAGGACTTTATGGAAGTTCTGTGGCTGAGTCCTTCTAACACTTAAGGCCAGATGTCCTGCCCTGGCCACATGGATGCCGGTGCAGCAGGTCCATGTTGTAGCAGTCGCTGCTCAGGGGCTCGGGGCCAACATAGTCCAAGGGGTGCGTGTCCCTTGACCCTCCAAGTCTTAATTAGATGTGGGCCTTGAATCCCGAGAGTCAGCCAGAGATTGCTACAGACTTTCTTTGGTTTGATAAAACATTCCAAGCAAAGTAGCTGTTGGAAACTGCAAAATCAGCATGTGTCCACTAGAAGTCTTGTGTTTTTTATCTTCGAGACTGAACCAAGTGAGGATCTACTTCTCGCTAGCTTGGAGGAAAGATCAAAGCTGGGCGGTCAGAATGCGTGACCAATTAGTGCATTAACATGATGATCCATGTAAAAATAGTTTAGATTAAATGATATAAAATTATGATAAATATTGTCTTTTTATACTGTTATCTAGTTTAGTTTACTGGCATCCATGTCTCTGGCTCTGTATACACTACAGTTGACTCTTGAACAACATAGGGGTTAGGGGTGCCAACCCCCACACAGCTGAAAATACGAGTGTAACTTTTAACTCTACAATTGGCCTTTTGCACCCACGGTTTCAACCAATCACATATTGAAAACAGTACATCATTTTGAGCCATAATTGGGAATGCAAAAATACTTTTTGATCTGTGGTTGGTTGAATCTGTGGATACGAAATCTGCAAAGGGCCAACTGTATTTATTGAAAAAAAAAATCCACGCATAAGTAGACCCATGCAGTTCAAACCCATGTTGTTCAAGGGTCGACTATATTTAAAAGGATCACATTTCTTTATTAAGTCGTCTATAATCCAGTTTCTCTGTTCATTCACATACTACCTCTCTAATTTGGACTGAAGATATCACTTATGAAAATGGCTAATTAAGTTACTGCTTTCCATCAGTTTAGGACATCATTTTTCCCTCTCCCCTACAGAGTATAAGAACTGAAATAATCCTTTCCCAAGGAAAGTTTGATTTTTAATTTCATAATTTTCAAGCAGATGACAGGCTTCTTGCCACAGGCAGCTCAAATGCATGGTGTGCTGAGCCCTTACTGGTGAAAAGTTCCTGTTTAGGAGGAATGAGAATGGAAGGAACAGAGCTGACTTAGTAGGTTTGATAAACATCTTTTCTACCTTCATATACTGAAGTGGGCTTATATATTTCAACGTTCAAGTGCTTATACCTTTTATTCCATTGTCTGCGTTTAATTAATTTATTGGCAAGCATTCACGTTTTTATAATCACGGTTTTATGCTCTCAGAAGCGCTAGGGGACAGGGTAGCACTTGGTCAGGTACTTTAAAGAAGCCCCAGGTGTCACCAATGCAATCAGTGGTACCATGACAAGCATGCCTATCAGGTGGGGCGGCAGAAGAGCCCAGTGGTGAGGGGCAGGGCTACGCCTCTAACTAAAAGCACCTGCTGGCACCGAAGAGCGCAAGTTTCTAACAGCTATTGCTCCCAGCACAGCAGGTTGAGGCACTAAGTCCCAGTATTCCCGCTCTAAAGCAGAAGAATGAGAAACAGCTCCACTCCGAGCAAAAAGGACCCGCAGGCTCCCTCTGCCTTCAACACCAGCATGACTGCTGGAGACAACTTGGCAAAGTCATTGAAGAAAATGGAAACTTACTCAGGGTCAAAAACTCCTGGAGTGCGGCAGGTCGGTCCCGAACAGGACTGTAGCATCATCAGCCGATAGTTCATCTTTCCTAAAAGCTCTGGGTCTATACTTTTAGCAATGTTTGTGATTTGGTATGGGTCTGCAGTCAGATTGTAGACTTCGACAAACACCTACAGGAAATGAAAGGATGGGCGAGACCAAAGAGTAAGGGTTACATTTAAAGAAATACTCCTCATGAATTATTTCTAAATGGAGAGGGAGGAAGACGGCGACAACCAAGGCCCAGGGGAATATCATCTGGTCTCAAGCTCCTCCAAGAGCTCCAGGGTGTACGTGAGACAATGGAGCATCTGTTCTGGGGGTTCAGTTACTTCGGGTCTCTGGCCCACATGCTGGAAAGGGGCCTGTTTCAGGCAGAGTCAGGAGGGGATTTATTACTTTCTGAAATTAAAGCAGAGAGCAGAAGGCAGGACCCTCAAATGGCGAGGCCTCAGACACCAGACATAGTAGTCAGGTTACTGAGTGGGAGTTGACATTTGAAGGTTTACTTTTTGCCTTAGAATTGTTAAGATTCAAATGAAAAACATGGAAGTACTCTAACCTATGTCATATAAATGCTAAATTTTCCTATTTTAAAAACCAGTTTTGGACATATTTGGCCGAAGGATACAATACTATCATTTCTATAGACGTACTATTTCCCTCCAAACTTTGTCTTCCAAATTGGAGTCAAGGGATAGGCTAGGAAGATGGTAGGTAAATTTTGCCTGTAATAGCTTTAAGTGGCTGCCCTCAGACTATCACTTATAAGGTATAACAGTTACCAAACTGATAAACATTACAGGGGAAGGGGAACAGGTTTGAGTTTGAGGTGAGCTCTCCTGGCTATTGTTTAAAGTGCTTACGAGCTATAAGTGAGTGACTGGCGAGTGAGCCAATGTCTGAGAAACACGATGAGCATCGGCTCCAGAGGGCAAGGTGTGGGTTGCCAGATGGGGGTCAGCACCCGCTGATCAACAGTATGGATCTACAAGGGACTGGGTCCATGTGAGCCTTCAAATAATCCACACTGATCTGTGTCGGCTAAAAGGGTGGATGGAGCTGCCTCTGACCCCCACTGCTGATCTATTTGAGCAGCACTGGACTCGGCTGTGGACAGAAGTTTTTGAACAAGTTGAGGTGTCTTACCCTCAACCCAAACTAGCAGAAAAGCAAACAGACCAGCCTGCAGCATTCGGAAAGAGTGACCTGTGCATTTAAAGCATATGTTTGGGTGGTGGTGGGAGAGGAGGAAGCCCCATCCAGAAAGGGCCCAGAGAAGTGAAGAATGGCCTTGGGAAATTCTATTTTCTTAACTGAAGGAAACCTAAGTGGAAGTACAGGCGAGAAATGCACCTTCCCTAGAGAGCATCCTTGGAATTGCTCTTCTGCCACCAAGTCCAGCCCACAAAGCACTGGCAACAGACACACAGCACCAGTGGGGGAGAGCAGGGCCTCTTACCTCCTGGTCGTCAAACTCGCAGTACTGTAAATCCCACAGCGCTGACATGGTCCTCACACAGGCATAGGTGTTGTTATAAGCATCTTCACACACACAGTCTGGGAAACATTGCTGCAGGGATATTTAAAAAAAGTTAAACGAAGATAGTTCTGTAGTAACAACTATGACCAGCCTACAGGGGCAACCCAGTTGGCTCAAACCAGACATACAATATGGAGAGAAATTAAGAAACCTTCCACAGAGAATCAAAAAGATGCGAGGCTTTGTTCCTTATTGACAGCTAACTTGACTAAGGAACATGTGGTTGTGGTGTGTATGTGTATAGACAGTTGCCACCCCTGTCAATCTCCTGACAAGAATTAATTGTAATGGGCGCCTGTAAAATGTATGGTTGGGAAGGAGAAGAAATCAATATGCAAATGAGTCACTTCTAAGGTACATTAGGAACTGCCATCCTAATGCGTTGGAGAAAAAGGCTAAAATGAGCTTTGTGGAATCATCTGTGGTGATTTATGAGTGTTCTTATCACTAAATAGGACCTAACTCTCCCTTATTTCTTCATGTCTTCCATACCAACTTACGGTTGGTTCTTAACCATATTGTAACACTGGTATTAGGAGAGTCAACTCCAAATGGAAGCCTATTTTTCTGCAAAGCAAGGCCAGTGTCGCTGTTACCACCTCCATGACCAGCCTGGCTGTCACCAATGAAGACCCTCGTGATGGCGCGGCTCCAGGTGGGAGCCCCATCTCTCCACTGGATCCCACTGATAACATCCCTAATAAAAAAACGGTACCACTATCGGGAAGGGTAGAAAACCATGAAGGGGTACGGATACGGTGAGAAGATGGACAGATACATGCACTTAGAATAGCTGGAAGAATTCAAAGTGTACATTCTGATAATAGGTCAGCAGCCTCATCTTCAGGATTATTTTTTTATTTTCAGGATTATTGAATTTAACTTTCGTGCACTGACTAATCGCCATAGTCAAATGACAGAGGAGCAGGACGCAGAGTCAAGGTTTCAATACTTGACACATCTATACTGAGGGCTTACTGGGCTACAGTGAGGAAGCTGTCTAAACCAAATCAAGCTATTACTCACAGATACTCCAGGACTCAGGGAAGGACATGTTGGGTCCGGCGTGTTACAACCTTCTCCTTGATATTCCACCAGGATATCTGATCGCCAAGTCACATTACTGGCACCTTTCTAGAAAGAAGAGCAAAGGTGGTTCCTGTGAGGCATAGAGACTGTGAAAAGGATCACAAAGTTATTTATTGTGCTAAAGGGGACTTGGGAGTCACAACTAATTAGACTGTTCATTCAATATCTAAAGGGAATGACTCAAATCGATGCATAAGAAGATTGGTATTTAGAGCCCTTACAAGTGATGGTCAAATGCTTCGAGCATTTAATAGGTACTCCCCAAGCCAACTCCTGTGAGGCTGGTCAGGAAAGTAAACCTACAAGGTAGCTAAGCAAGAATCAGTCACAGTGCCAGGTGCTGGAAATCCAGATTAGAATAAACAATATTGCCCATAAACTCTGGGTAAGAGCAATTCTAAGCTCATACTAAAATTTAGAGCTTAATACACACAGGGACAAGAACAAACAAACAGGGCCGGTGTGCTAAGGACTGCAATAGGTTCAAAGCACTTCTTGATGGTCAGAATGAAGACACCGTACATACGTGAACTTGTCGGAGAGGGGGAGAATTTCTCCCTCCACCCTTCTTTAGTTCTTATGGTTGGACTAGTAATAAAATGGTAAATTGACACAAGACTAAGTTAAGAGAAAAACCAATTTAATACATGTGCATGGGAGAATCACAGTATGATGCTCAGATAATAAAATGAGGCTCAAAGAAATGATGGAACCAGGTGAGCAGGTAAACTGATGACCATTTTGTAAACCAACTCGGTACTATTTGTGGAAATGAATGTGTGCAGTTCCTTGGTACACACATGTACACACACACAAACACAAACGTGCACTGGGAGACATATGTAATAATGCTAGAGCAGCATTGTTCCTAAAACACAACGAGAACACAAATGCCACACTGACAAGAACATAGGTAATGAGTTGTGATGCATTCATACGATGGCATATTAGGCATCTGTGACCAACATGGATTAATCTGGAAACAATGCTGACTTGAAAAAAGTCCCAGATGGCATCCAGTAGGATGTCATTTTTAGAGTGCAAAGCAAGATCAAAACTAGGTATGTTGTTCAGGGATATGTACATAATTACTAAAATATAAGTCAGAATGATAACCCTGAAATTCAGGAAAGGGGTCACTCCCATGGGGCAGGTGAGGGATAGGACGGGGAGGAGCATAAAGGTAGATACACCAGCACTGGGAGTATTTGAGTTCTTAAATGGGAAGATGGATTCATGGGTGTTTCATAACTAATGTGAATTACATGTGTTCTACTGTATGAAGCACAGACTACCTAATAATAAGCTGTAATAGAGTCAGACAGTCAGCAAGATGCACCCATACTGAGTCACCATAAACGGCTAAACCATTTTAGTGCCGATACTTCCCAACTTCTCTATGCTTAAACGTAACTCAAATGCAATTTTACTGGAGAAGAGATGCTGCTGCAAAGCCTCCTTTGCTCCCTGTAGTGTGTGCTAGGCATTTCCCCAAGTCAGCGTATACAGAGCTGTATCACTGAGTGTTGGTTTAATAGTCTATTGTTTAATTGTGAACAATTTAACCGATTCTCTATTGGATATTTAGGTTTTCCATTTTCTTCTATTAATGCTACATTTACATTTTTTTACAATTAGCTGTGTGCAGTGCTAGGCACACAGTAGGTACTGATACTTCTTGAGTGAATTTTGTTTTCTTAGAATAAATTCCCAGATGGAACTGTTTGTTGTGTGTGTTCTCAAGTGATATGTCTTGTCAAATTAGCCTCCTGATAGCTTACACTGATTATACTTTTAGGAACAGAGTCTGAGCAGCTTCCATTTTCTCTTCTGCAAATACTCGGTAGTAATCTTTTTAACAACCTTTGCCACCTCTGCAGGTGATAAAGGCCTCCTTCAGTTAAGCATTTCTTTGATCAGCACTCATGCAATCTTTGCATTTACTCTGGCCATTTTCAATTCCTCTGCGAGTTTAATAGTTATTTCTTTTGCCCATTTTTCTACTGGAATATTAATCGTTAAGAACTCATCTATTAGAGGACTTATTACCCTATTTCACATATGTTGCAAGTACTTTCCCAGTTTGTCACCTGTCTTAATTTTGTTTATGATGATTTTTTTTTTGAGGGAGGCGATGAAGGGAGGATAACAGAACTCTGTTTATATGTGGTTCAAGCAGTCTTTTTTAAAACAAAACTACTTTCCACCACAGATAAGCGAAAAATTCTATTATCTGTTCCCCAAATTTAATAGTTTTAAGATTTAAATTCTTAAGTCTAAATTTATACAACCTGGAATTTATTTCAGACTCTTGGCTCAGGTCTGACTGAGGGCCTTATGCTCACCAAAATGGGCAGTAAAGACATCCCATCCATCTGCGTCTTATTCAGGTTGTAGCCAGCGATGTCCAGAATCGTAGGACCCAAATCAATGTTGGCAACGAGCATCTGTGAGAAAAAGATGAGCAATGTAGAAAAGCTGGTCCTGTGTTCGTTTTCTATCTGTACTCTTCATTCCACCCCACCCACGAGACAAACAGCGTTCATTATTATGTTTTGTACAGCCCACACTTACTTAAATTTGAACGTATGAATCAGTAAGACCTAATTATAATAATTTAAAAAACAAAAGCATATAACATTTGTAATATATGGCCCTGGGAAGTTATATACTTATTCTACCCACACTTATTGATCAAATCATTTTTTAAAAAACTCCTTTGGGATTGCCTGGAGTCTGCTATAAATCATGAAAAAAATGTTGGTCTAATTATTTTATACCAAGTGTTTTCCAACTTGATAATTCTTATTAGTTCACTAAATTTGACTTCAAGTGGGCTGACATTTTTGAATACCTCAAAGGTTGAATGCTTGCCACCAAGGAGGAGATGAGCCCTTTCCAATAGTTTTTCAAAGGGACAATACTGCTAAAAAAACATGTTTGCAGTAGGCTTTGAAGACTGCAGAAAACTTATTCCAACAGTGCATCAATAAAAGTTTCCTTAAAGAGCACAAAACTTAGCTGTTTTAAACAGACATTCTAGAAATTAAAAATAACTGTCCCGCATTTATACCTTGCCTTATTTCCTTGGTTTATTAGACTATTTTCCTTCATTGTATGCAATGCCTCTTTAGGACCTAAACTAGCACAGTCAAACATAAATATAATAGGACCACATACATACATGTATGTAACTTAAAATTATCATGTGATCACATTAGAGTAAAAAAGAAAAGAAATCGTTTGTATATATTTAACCTGATATATAAACATAATACTATTTCAACATGTAGGCAATACAAAAAAATTAATGAGATTTTACTGTTTTAATTTTGAACCAAGTCTTTGAAATCTGGTATTTTAAAACTATAACACATCTCGATTTGGACTATCTATGTTTTGGCTCAACAGCCACAGGTGGCCAGTGGCTACTGTCGCGGACAGTACAGGCCTATACAGAACCTAAGCATATACCTGGAAGTCACTTTGGTCACAGGCTAGGGAAAGCTTCAGAGTGGCGAAGACAATCCACCGGGAAACAAGGAGGACTAATGTTTACTGAGCACCTACTCTGCACCAGTACTTAGCATTTATCCTCATTTAATCCTCACCACGATCCTATGGTGCAGTATTTCCCTCACTTTACAGATGAGGAAAAGAAAGAGAAGTAAACGAACAAAATCAACAGCTTGTAACTAGAAAAGCAGTTCTTTACTCAAAGGAAATAAGTCTTCAAAACTGTTGAGGAAACGTGGATCATCTTACGAGAGGCCAAAAGTGGATTTAAAAAACCCCCACAAAAACCCTAAGGCCAGAAACCATCTTCAGGTCAGGCTTCCTGGCAGCTAGGGAGGCACAGTGATACACATATCGTGGCTCTGAATTAGTGTAACTCTGCAGCTGTCAGAAATGACCACTCAGTGGCAGGCAGCTCATGGAAAACCCATATGTTACTGAGAAAAAAACAAACCCCACAGCAATGCCTCTGGGGATTACATGAGCCCCAGGTCAGAGATATCTTGCCTAGTTCCAAGCCCACAGGCAGGCTGAGCAGCTTGGAATAAGATCAATACGAGTGGGTATGAATACAGAAGAGATCATGTCAGGAAAGAAGAGACAAGCAGAGACAGGGCCTCCAGAATCAGATCAAGGCAACAAGACCCTGATGTGTGACCAACAGATCTTCCTGATGTCTAGAACATGAACCAAGTGAAGCCAAGTCCACAGGCATTACTGACATGTCAAGGCAGTTTTATAAGAAAAGAGAGAGTCAATACTAATATTGTAAAACCCACAGAGATAGAAAATGTCAATTGCCAGTCTCACCAGGAGTTAAGAGCCATCAGCTGTATGATGGATGGGAGGCTCTCCCTAATAGTGGTTTGCGCTCTGGGGAGAAAGGTCTGCAAGTTCTGGTACAAATCAAGAGTCACTAAGATTCTGCATAAGTACCATTAAACACCATCCCAGGACTCTTTCTTCCCAGATAGCTACATGATCACACCTTCCCTATAAGTAATGGACTAATTCTCTTCCCTTCTAGACTTTTGTTTGACCAAGAAGTAGAGTCTCAAAATTAGCACAGTACATCAGGAGATGGGAGACTTCAAGTGGATACCGAGTATGAGGTATTCAACCGAGAATTATACCCATCTCTGGGTTTTATGCAACCAAGAATTAGAATAGATACTATAGTTCCATCACCGTAATGACTTCTAGAAACATTAACGTTTTATTTTCTAAAATGGTCAGATACTCCTTGACTTACGATGGGGTTACATCCTGATAAACCCATCATAAGTTGAAAATATCAGAAGTTGAAAATGCACTTAATATGCCTAAGCTACCAAGCAAGCATCACAGCTTAGCCTAGCTGGTTTCTACAGAATGTGTATCGCTTCTGCATCATCATCATCAAGTCGAAAAATAGTTACGTCAGAACCTTGTAAGCTGGGGACTATCTGTACTGCTTTTATCACTAACCATAAACTCAAAGATTCACTTATGGATTGGAACCAAAAAGCTTTGACAAGACCAAAAGTACATTAGTTCATAAGTCACAGCCTCAGAGTTGGTTTAGGAATGTTCTTGGGATTTAAACATCTAGACATTCTGATCAAATAAATTCCCCTAGAAAACTCTGGGGCATGAAATCAAGGGATATTATGCCTTGAACCTGCTTATTTTTTTTTTAGCTCTGGAAGGACAATCCTGCAGAATTACTGAACACAGAACAAGAGGGGTCTGAGGAGGATACGTTGGGTTTCCAAACAGACATTAAAGCCCTCGTGTTAAAGCATTCATGTAAGGCGATCAAAGAAGATGCAAAGCACGTCAGAGAGCACCAAACCCAAGTAGGGGAAAGCACGGGAACTGCAAAAGCAAGCAGAGAACTCGCCCCGTGGGCTGCTGCATCCGAGTTTGCTCCTCAGCCCCAGCTTCTCCAACAGCAAGAAGCAGGGCGCCCCCTAGTTACACTTGAGAACCTGCACTTAACATCCTCCCAACCTCATGCAGGCAAACCCATGCTTCTTTTATCCAAAGTCTTAAAGCCAAAAATGTGGTCTTCCCGACTCCCAGTTCAGTTCTGTTTCCTCCGGATCATGCTGTGTCATTTTAGTCTTCCTACAAAACTTTTCCTTCCTTAAAACCCTTTTGAAGAACTTCTACCACCAAATCTAAAGCTAGACTAATTTCTAGCCAGAGGAGAAAACCTCAACAGCCACTCTTTGGCAAGCACACGTCCCATCTGCCCCTACTCTCACAAACAGTCAACACAAAGTTAAATCCACTGGTCAAATGTGCCATTTTTGCCATCAGGCTGGACAGCTCAGCTCATTAAGCCCAACTCATAACCCTGTGCTACTCACATGGAACTGGCACTGAGACAACTGTGCTGCCAACACATGATGAATCACCCCCCCCCCTCCGGCATTCTTTGTGCTAGATGGAAGCCAGGCATTTCATGCTTTTCAGAGTACATCTGTCAGCACAACAGCGTAAAAAGTCATGGATTCTGAGAACAGACAGTTCATTTTCAGTCCTGTTTCTGCCATTTAACTATGTGACCTTGGTATTATCCATTCAACAAACCTGGATGTCCCCCAATGCATGTTAAGGACTGGGTATTCTAAGTTTAGATAGCACCTCTCTTCTAGGAACTCCGAAAGTAAAAAGGATAAACTCAGTAGGGTGTGATAAGTATGAGGCCACTTGGAAAGGGCACCTACCCCATGTGGGGGCAGGGGCCTGTAGTGACTTCCCAGACTGGACCCCTAAGCTGAAACCCTAGAGCACAATTAACGTAGCCTGCTTAAAGGGGCATCAGGTGGGCATTCCAGACAGCAGGGGCAGTCAGTCAGACAGGCAAGGAGGTGAGACAGGTGGCTCACTTAGGAAGAGAAGGTAGTTCAGTACAAGGGCCCCCTTCTGTCCCTGGAACGAGCCAAGCTCGTTCTCACGTTCATGCCGTCACATTTACTGTTCTGCTCAGAACACCCTCCCACAGATCTCTATGACTAAATCCTTAACACTGCTCAAACGCCTCAGAGGCTTTCACTGACAATTGTAGCGAAAGTATCTGCTCTTCCTGACATGGAGTTAAGAACTGATCCTCCCTGATTGCTCACTGCTGTGTATCCAAGGCTCCTGGCATACTGTGCTGCAACAAGTATATTTAATAAATACTTGTCTGAGCTACAGTGTAATGGTTAAGTGTATGGACTTTGGAGCCAGACTGACCAAATACAGGGCTCTGATACTTTTCAGCTACATGATCTTGGGCAAAACATTTAATTTCTGTATTTTATTCTGTACCTCAGTTTCCTCACCTGTAAAATAGGGCTAATAGCATCTATATCTCATAAGGCTGTGAAGGTTAAATGAACTGACATAGGTAATACATTGAGCTGTTGTCACACACTAAACATTCAGTAAATATTAGTTATTGTTAGAATAGCTTCCTAGGAACCAGGCCTCATTTATGTAGATGGCTTAGAGAAAGTGAAGTTTCTAATTTTAACATTTAGATGGCACTATTAGCTTGAAGAAAACCAGGCCAATCTGTTCCACTGGTAGCTGGCTGACACACTGCACTCTGCTCTCACTCTGCCTTCTTCCCACACTGGTTAGAAGTGGCCCTAGAAGCCCTGATCCTCAGAAATGCACACAGAGTCTGACGGTCTCCTCAACCAGCTCCCAGCACCAAGATCAATAAATGCTTTTACAAGTTAACGGTCTTCCAAACTTGCCTATCTCCTTTATAAGGAGATGCCTGTTTAGAGGATATTGAATTTTTAGTGGAAAGTGATTGGCTTTAGAAGTGTAGGTAATAAGAGAAAAAGAAAAAAGGCAATTGTGAAGGCCATTTAACCTTTCTGAGAGAATTTTAACAGAATTCCATCAAGAGTATTGTAAAAGAAAGTAAATGAATGGCAGAAATTAAAACAAAGTAAACATTAAACCCGAAAATTAAACTAAAGTACAGCCAGCAAGTCTGGCCTATTTTCCAATTTTAGCTTAAGTAACGCATTTGCTCATTTTCTTTTGTCGCATAGAGCTGGGACTGACATTGTGAAATCAGGAAAGAGAGAAGACGTGAGTGGTAGAGCATATCAATTTTTATCTTTCAAGCAATAGGCCAACATGTTATGGAGCCAGGTGCCCACGTTTCTAGGAATAGTGTCTCAGTATTAGGTAACACGCTTGGAAAAAGACACTGAAACCAAACGGAAATGGCAACAAAACAACGTGGTACATTATGACAGTTCTAGGAGAGAGAAACAGTAGAGCAGAAAAGCATTAATGAGGAAGAGTCCCACAGAGAGAGGGACTAAACTCTCAGAAGACATGTTTTCCATAGCCTTATACTCAAAGTGAGGTCAGACCTGCAGCAGACATTACCTGGGAGCAGGTGAGAAATGCAGAATCAGAGTCTGCATTTTAACAAGACCTCGGGGGATCTGCACACACAGTAAAGCCTGAGGAGCTCAGCTTAGCTCAGGGCAGTGGGTCCCAAACCGGGCTGCCTCTCAGGATCATCTGTGAACTTCAGAAAAAAAGCAGAGGACGTGTCCCTATCCAGTCTAAGCGAGTCAACCAGAACCTTTCTGGATGTTGAACCTTTCACAACTTCACAGGGTGATTATGAGGAGGACCTGAGTGCAGAGTCACTGCTCCAAGACAAAGACCTAATCCCAAGAGAGAAACAAAAAAGGGGTGGAGTTAAGATGGAGGAGTAGGTAAATTCTGAACTCGCCTCCTCCCACTAACACATCCAAATTACAACTAAATTATAGAACCACCATCACTGAGAACCACCTGAAGACTAGCTGAACACAGTCCTATATAATTAAAAATAAAAGAAGAACCCACGTGCAGATGAGTCGGAGGGGTGAAGATGCGGACTGAGCAGGTCCACACCCATGGTGTGAGGATTAATAAATAGAAGGGATATCTTATCCGCAGAGGTCCCCCCAGAGGAGTGAGGGGTCCAAGCCCCATACCGGGCTCCCCAGCCCCAGGCACCTGTGCCAGGAAGAGGAGTCCCCATAACATCTGGCAGTAAAACCCAGCAGGGATTATGTCTGAGAGAGACAAAGGGCTGTGGGAAACCAAGAGGCTGCTCTTAAAGGGCTGGAAGAAATCACTAAATTCCTAGAAACATACAACTTTCCAAGACTGTCTCAGGAAGAAACCAGAAAATCTGAATAGACAGGTAATTACTAACACAATAAAATCAGTAATCAAAAACTCCCAACAAACAAAAGTCCTGGACCAGACGGCTTCATAGGTGAATTCTACCAAACATTCAAATAATACATATCCTTCTCAAACTAATCCAAAATATTGAAGTGGAGGGGAGGGAAGGCTCCCAAACTCATTCTATGAGGCTAGAATTACCCTGATACCAAAATCAAAGACACTAGAAAAAAAGAAAAATAGAGGCCAATACCCCTGATGAATATAGATGCAAAAATCCTCAACAAAGTATCAGCAAACCGAATTCAGCAATACATTAAAAAGATCATACACCATAATCAAGTGGGATTTATTCCCAGGGGCAAAGTTGGGTCAATATCCTCAAATCAATAAACGTATGATACAACACATAAACAAATGAAAGATCAAAATCATACTCATATCAACAGATGCAGAAAAAGCATTTGACAAAATCCAACACCCATTTATGAGAAAAACTCTCAGCAAAGTGGGGATAAAGAGAATATATCTCAATATAGTAAAGGCCATATATGACAAACCCACAGCTAAATCATACTCAATGGTGAAAAGCTGAAAGCTTTTTCACGAAGATCAGACACAAGACAAGGATATCCACTCTCACAACTTTTTTACAATATAGTATTAAGGTCCTAGCCACAATCAAACAGAAAAGGGAACCCTCATACTGCTGGTGAGATTGTAAACTGGTGCAGCTACTATGAAAAAAGTATGGCGGTTCCTCAAAAAATTACAAATAGAACTATTATATGACCAGGAATCCCACTTCTGGGTATTTATCCACAGAAATCTAAAACACTAATTTTAAAAGATATATGCACCTGTATGTTCACTTTATGTCCATCAATATATGAATAAAGAAGAGGTGGTACATATATACAATGGAATATTACTCAGCCATAAAAAAAGAAACCTTGCCATTTGCAACAACATGGGTGGACCTATAAGGCATTAGGCTAAGTGAAATAAGTCAAAGACAAATACCGTATGGTTTCAGTTATATATGGAATCTAAAACACAAAATAAACGAACAAAAAATCAAAGCAAAAACAAACTCATAGATATGGAGAATCAACTGATGCTTGCCAGATAAGAGAGTGATAAGGGGAGGGGCAACAAAGGTGAAGGGGATTAACAAGTAAAAATTGCCAGTTATAAACTTGGTCACCAGGATGTAAAGTACAGCACAGGGAATATAGTAAGACTGTAATAACTATGTACAGTATCAGATGGGTACTAGACTTATTGTGGTGGTCACTTCGTAAGGTATATAAATGTCTAATCGCTATGTTGCACATCTGAAACTAATACTATATGTCAACTATAATTTAAAATAAATTTAAAAAGACAAACAAAAGCTATTCATGTTCTTTATATGATACATACACATACACACACACACACACACACACACACACACACACACACACATTGGAGGTGGGGTACAGTTAATAGGGGGTAGCCAGGAATTTTTAAAAAGTCACTGTTTCCAAGGCTTATAAATACACTTACAAGATCTTAAGCCAATCAGCCTTCATCCTCACAGGAGAAGAATCTAATCAGCCTCCTCTCAGGAGTCGCCTTCTTTTCTCAGGCAAGTGCTACCTATAAACAGCATCGTCTTGTCAGGCACCTACCTTGCTTATCTGATTTGGTTTGATCCCAGGTCCTCGAACCAACAGTGGAACTTTGATATCAAACTCATACAGCTGCCTTTTGTCTATTGGCAAAGAAAACTGTCCTGAAAACAAAATGCATAGGGTAAAGATGGAGCCAAGACAGAAGTGCCACTCATTCATTTAATCAACAGTAAAAACAAAACAACTTTGTTCTACTAATTATGGTGTTTTAATAGGAAGCTTAAAAATCTGCCAGGGTGTCTTATTACTAATAAGGCAGGAAACGATGAGTTCATCTTCTTTAAATAAATGTCTAGGTGGATGCCCTGGTCTAAGCACAAATTCAGCAAAAAGAATGACAGGAAAGTACTGAAACACAAACATACAATTTATGTATGATATTCAACCTGATCATAATTGAACGAGGTTATTCTAAAAATTGCTAAGGGACAAAAACGTTTTGTCCTTTTGGTGTTTCCTGAATAAACTGCATTACAAGATAACCAAAAAGTTGATGCAGGAAGTTCTTCTCTAAGGAATTCCAGCTAATTAATACAAAAGGAAGGAGTTATGAAGTCAGCATTTTGCAATTTTTGAGGGAATAATGGATTTTTAAGCAACAATCACCAGTGGAACCTTTAGCCACATAAGGTTCACAGGATGGGCTCAGGCTGATACCACATGAACCATCAATCAACACTAGCATCCCTAAAGTGGGGCAAGCAGGCACCATGGGCATCATGAAGTGATACAACAGGAGGTACACAGCATCAACAAGAAAGCATTCTTGCTGAAAATGTAAATTTCTATTAAGACTCTAGACCTTAACCACTAATCTATAGGGAATGCTGAGTATAAACAAACAAGTTAAGACAATATGAGGCAGCAATTAGCCAAATCCAGAATGTGAGATATTCTAAAAGACACAAGACCATTTTTTCCAATAAATCAGTGGCAAATGACAGCTTTAGGACCCAAAAAATCTAAAGTAGTGTGTGGACTTCATCTAGATCATCACACATAATAAACTAGTAAGATGCACAATCAAGTATGGGTGTGTGGAATCACAACATCTGGAGTTTCTTCAAAACCTTCTTGCTAAAAAAGAAAAACATGGGGAAGGTAGGAAAAATTCAAAAGACCCAGCCATATACAGCTGAAAATCAAAGCTGGATAATGGAGGTTATTTTACTAGTCTATACTTTGAGTGCCTTAAAATATTCAGAAAAATGCATGAAATGCCCAATCAATCTGCTCCCAAGCAAGCCTCAGGTTAGTTCCACTGAAGTTTATAGGTGGGGAATGTAGTTAAAAACACTGGTTTTTAACCACAGAAAAGTTCAAGGAGAAAGGATGCAAGTCAAGGACATGAGGCTGGCTCACTGCAATATGAAAAACAAAAAATAAATCAAAGACACGCCCTCCCTTCCTCCCGCGCACACACACATCAAAAAAACCAATTTTACAATTTTGCAAAGAAATAAATAAAAAATCCCCCCATCCCCAAAGACAACCTTCTCTTGGTCATCCTGTGTAAAATGGCTTACCCCTTATTCTTTAAGGTGTACTTCTCCTTGAAATCTAGTTCAATTTCTTACCTCCTTCATAAACCATTCCTCCAGCCCATCAAGCTCTCTCTATTCCTGACTCGTAGAATATCATGTAATTTAGCATATGATGTAGCAAATAATAAAACGTGGTCCCTCCATGTGGGAATGAGTTGGCCCTCCAACCAGAGGGGTCCTTAGGGTAAGGCCCTTCCTCTAACCTCTCCACTGCTATAGAAAGACTAGAGCTCCCTGCCAGGGCTATTGGTCGCATGAAAAAGGAAAAGCACCTCACCGAAGTCACAGGAAAACCCAGCCATGCCCCTTACCTGTGTGATAGCCATTGTCTGAGGTATAAAAGATGTAAGTGTTGTTGAGCTCCCCATTGAACTCCAATCTCTTGACCAGTTTCTCCACAAGGTCATCAACTGAGAGTAGAGTTTGCCACCTGGATGTAAAGAGGGTGGCAATGGGACCTCAGAGACGATGGCGCAAAACCTCAAAACCACTCTCCCCAAAAGCTCAAATCCCAAATTTCCTTTCCTCAGACCCCTCATTTCAAAGACAGAAAAATTTAGAACATAGCTCATTCCAAATTTAACTGTTTCCAAAAAAATGAGGCTTTTTAGAACCAGTTAGCTTTATTATTTATTATCACTGGTGATGAGAGTAGAGACAATTAGAAGGGAAAGTTGTCAATTCAGTACAGATTAATACAGATTAATTCAGATACATCTGGGCCACAACAGTGTTGAATGGTCTAATCTAGGGATCGGCAAACTATAGCCATGGGCCAAAGCTTGCTAACTGCCTGTTTTGTTTTTAAATTGTGGTTAAAAAAAACCAAAACACGTAACAGGAAATTTACCATCTTATTTTTAAGTGTACAGGTCAGTAGTATTAAGTATATTCACATAGTGAAACAGATTCGCAGAACTTTTGCAAATCTGAAACTGTGTACCCATTAAATGACAACTCACTGTCTGTTTTTATATACACATAAAGTTTTATTGGAACCCAGCCATGCTCATTCATTCACATATTGCCTAGAACTGCTTTTGCGTTCCAATAACAGAGCTGAGCAGCTGCAACAGACCATATGATCTGCAAACCTATAATTATTTACTATCTGCCCTTTTACAGAATAAGTTTGCCAACCCCTGGTCTAAACTATATACACCTTAAGAGAAAGTAATGGATTTTAAAAAATTGTTTTAAAAAAACTTCTTGAAAATTCCAAACAGCAGAGGTAAATATTTTGCTCTAGTCTAAGCCTTTCAATCTTATGTACATATGGGGAGTACTGATCTCCAATAAAGCAACCTTTTCTTTAGATGTAGAAAATTTATTTTTAATCAAATGGCTCCAGTTTGCAATATGTTTATAACGGGTCATAAACATGAATTAATTAGTCCTGGGGTCCAAAGGCCACTTCACACACCTGAATGTAAAGGAATCTGTCGGCACCTGAGGCAGCAGACCCACCATGAAAGTCTCTCCCATCAACTTGATACCCTCCAATTTTGTCTCAAGAATAACTACCTGGTACAGTCCCCTATTCATAGGCTGATGTGGAGGGTCTTCGAAGATCACCCAGATTGAGAAGGTAGCAGCTCTTACCTTTTCCTAAATGCATTATCTAAAAACTGTATTGAAGAATTAGTCATTGGGGTCTTGGCTTGCCTAATTAACCAGTGCTTGTTCTAAAATTTAAAAGAAAGAAAATGTTAACACCAAGTCATCAAGTCACTGAAGTCAAATAAACTACTAGAGTAGACAATGAAAAGGATCATTTTACACTTTGGCACAAAGGAACTAACTAGAACTTGTTTAAGCAACTTCAGACTTTCCCTCCTCCTTATTCCCCTCCCATGTTCCCCCAAAAACTTCCTGTAGATCATTACTCATTCTTTAGATTCTTCCTACCACATCCCTAATGGCAGAAGGCCTGAGCTCCTTTGTCAGCAGCATTAATAAGCATTAGAGAGTTAGTGAAAAATATTTGGAAACTACTGGCTAAAAGGAGATTAAATTTATAATTTAGACTCTGAGTCTATGCTTTGGGTCTATTACCCAAGCTACAAAAGAGTCAGTATTAAACTTTACCTTCCTCTAAGTTTTGCCTAATAAGTTAACATTTTATTGCCCTCTATTTTCTTCCCCAAGATATCGATCATCCTAAACCTTGGGAAAAATCTCATCATAGCAATTTCCTAAAACTTAAAGTCCAAATCTGAAGGGTTCTTCTCATGTAAATAAAAGTCACAATTAAAAAAAAATAAGAATTCCAAAAACATAAAAAATAAAAAAATTTTCCCATACACCAGTCATTATTTCCTTCTTCCCTATTCTTAAAACCCTAAGCTGCTATCTCTCAAACTGTGACCTTCAAAGTGTTCTTTAGTATGTTTGAGAAATCCTGTAGCACAGTGACTTTTATAACCAAAAGTTTGTAAACTTTCTCGATCATGGGAACTTCTATCAATTTCTTTTGGAACACAATTTGAGATGGCCCTCTAGTTTAAAACTCTCAGTTCACTCAGCTTTAAAATCATACTTAATAAGCACATGCTTACAATAGTCCAGGCAATATGCTAAATGTTTCTATGTACTTTAATCCATACAGCAGTTGCATGGCAGATTAGGATCTCTACTTTATACAGAAAAATGGAAGTTATCATCTTGCTCATGGTCAAGTTGCTTAGCTAGAAAGTAGTAATGCTGAGTTTAACTCCAAGGCTCATTCTTTCCACCACCTCATAAGTAACTAAGATGTCTGGATAACAGGTATGAGGCAGTAGAGGGCTCTGCATTTGGACGAGTGAAATGCCAATCCCCTGTGCCAAGGGAAGGATAACTGGTATTTGAGGCAAATATTTAGATGGTGCCCTTAATTATATGTCCTCATTTCTCCATTCAACTTCCCTGCCCAATCATATCATACTGCATCGCCCCTCTTCTTCCTATGCTGCAGGCCTGGTGAAGGCCACCCAGAGGAGGCTGCTGCAGGCCCAGTTCAGCCCCAAGGGACATGTCTCAGGCACTGCCAGGCAGAGGTGAGCCAGCACAGAGGTTATCAGGAGAGCCTGCAGTCAAGAAAGATGGCATCTCTTTAACATTCCCTGTGGACTCTCCAGCTGCTCAATGGATATGTGGCAGGAACCTTATCTGCACTTCTGAAGCAAGTTTATACCATCTATTGTACCAGAGACGGGTGTAATTACCTTTAAAAGATCTGGAAGGAAAACCAACTATTGTACATGGCTAAGAGGCTTCCTAACAAGTATATGACACAGTTAACTATCGAGTATGGCTTAGTACAAGGATTAGGGAAGGTACCGTTCCATGGATGTTGAAGTTCTTGTTCCTTGGTGCAAAGACGTTCTGGAAGGTCTTCTGGTACTGAGGTGCGGCAGTCCAAGGTGAATGAGGCGCTGGAGTGGAGATCATCATGAAGAACGGTTGCGAGTTGGACTTGTAATCCAGGAAATCCAAGGAGACATTAGCCTGACATATACAAAGATTTGTCATCTCCTATCCTACCCAATAGTTGAGGATTTGATATACATTCTCTGGTGAACAGAAGGTACAGGGTCATATTAGCTTTTAACCAATCTTAGCACACAATCGATGTCACAGTCATTTGCAAACATGCTGTTGGAACAAATATTTGGCTTTTAGGCAATACTTGTGATAAAAAATTGAAAAGCACACCTTCTTAAGAAAGCAATTAAGATTGTGATGAATTTATACGATCTAAAAAATGTTATGCCTCCCATAAAAAAGAAATAGTAATTTGGCCATGTTAGCTTAAGAGTGCATACATTTGATGCCTTAAAGAATATAAAGAGTCAATCTAACTCATAATAATGGGAAAGGTGGATTAAGTTATCTTAATCTTACAAGAATATGTAGAGTAGAGATGATAAATTATGCCGGCTAAAGTGGCTAAGCTAAATCAGTAATACTAAATCCAAATAAATCACACCAGGGCTTTAATTTATATGGACTTACATCTTTTATTTGCTTATCTAGAGATACCATATGAAAACGGAAGCATCCCACATACATGTAATGTTTTTAATTGTTCTGGTTGATTTAGTATATGTGCTGCCAAAACGAACACTGTTCGAGTTGATTTGTATCTTCATTTATTCCCAACACTAAACTTGAAAGATACTGACTGTAGCAGTTTCCTATCACCACCCTGCCCACCAACTTACTTTAGCCTTGTCAGAAACCTGTGGTTTCTCCATCACGCCAGGCACACTCCTGTCTCAGTGCCCTCACTTTTCGTTTCCTCTGTCTGTGGCACTCTTTCCCCTGATCTGTGCAGCTCACTCTCACCTCCTTCAGGAGTTTGCTTAAATGTTACCTAAGTAAACCCCATAGTCCGCCTCATTTTTCTAACTGATCACCATCTAGTAAGACTAAAAATGAATGTGTATGTACATATACACATGTATAAATAAAAGCAGCCACTAAAAAGTTACCTCATACAGAATCAAAGATTTTGTTTCATTGACTGCTGAACACCTTCTATAATGAGTGCTGAAACATTTGGTGAATAAATGGTTGTCGTTAGAAACACCTTAGACAGAAGGGAAGTCCCAAATTCACCTAATTTCAGTCTGTTTTATATATGAATACACAATGCCTGCGGAACTCGCACATCCCTACCCACCCCCCTCAGGATGAAGCTGCCGTCTTGTAGCTTGTGAGTAAAGCTGGGGTCAAGAGTAGGAGCCCTTACAAAGTAAAACCTCTTCAAAGTAATATCCATAATCTTAGAGACTAGTCTTTGGAAAAGGATTTGTTGCTGGAATTTCAGGAATATTAGATCTGAGCCTGGCTTATATACAAACAAATACTCTCAGGAGTGTTTGTTTGTTTTGTAATTAGTTTCAGGTATGTAACAGTGCAATAGCAAAGTGACAACCCCCTTCCCCCACTCAGGAGTTTTTAATCAGTTGGAAATATTCTTTGTCAGTTAGGTCAAGTTATTTATTATTCATTCACATTACCCAACATGAACAAATACAACTAAAGGTTTCCTAGGCAGAGTCTTTAATCAAGTGTGAGCCAAACCTGCAAGGCCAGGGCTTCTGTAACTCACCAAAACATCAGTCAGGTAGTCCACGCTGTAGTTTTCACCATGTTTCCGTGTCTCCCCATTGATAGACAGGGTATAATTATAGTATTTAGAATTCTTTTCCTATTAAAGAGAGGAAAAGTAAAATTTGTTATGAGGTCAGCACACAAAATGAAAGTCAGAAACCCTATTAGGCTAACCTATACTCTGTTTAAATAGTGATAACATATTTTTTCAAAAACGTAATTACTCAAGTCAATATTGAATTAAATTTTAGGTTTTATTAACTACTAACATAGTTTCAATAATATGTCCCACTTGTTTAAAAATAAAAAACAGGAGTGGACCTGGTAGAATGGAAAAATGTTGCTAAACCTTGTGTAATGCAGGAAAAACATCCCCCAAAGGAGTGACTCACAAACCAAAAGACCCTTGAAGGAGATAAACAGCCAATCTTAAAAGCAAACAAGTTACGTCAATGTCAGAGCTAAATGAGAATGTAATGATACAATGCATCTGTAGGACTATGCATAACTGTCACTGACTTCAATCATCACTCACCAAGGCATACCAGTAACTCCATCCCACAGGAATGTGCTTTAGTCCTCCTGCATCCGGAGCTCCATACTGAAAAGCAAGACATACAGCATGTCAGAAGTCCTTTGACACAACAACACCACAAACAAATAGGAGACTTTTAGCATCTTTTTAGATCAGTCCCTGAAACATGGTAGGTGCTCACTTCTTCCAAACACATAAACCAGCAAAAAGTAAAGAACACTATAATCTTAGAAACTTCTGAAGCAGGAGTCGGCAAACTACGATCAGTGGGCCAAATCTAGCCTGCCAACTGTTTGGTATGGCCAGCAAGCTAAGACTGTTTTCCAACCACTAAAAAAAACATAAACCCCAGGCCGGCCGAGTGGCACGCTGATTAGGAGTTGGCTTGGGACGCCAGCTCTGAGCAGCAGGGCCCCGATTCAGATCCCACACGAGGGCCAGTGATGCTGTGCCCTCTACAGCTAAGATGGTGAACAACAGCTCGACCTGGAGCTGGGCTGCCATGAGTCGCTGGCAACAGCGTAGGCTGCAGTGGGGCTGGCTGGCAGTGGGTGTGAGCTGCTGTCCATTGGCCGGTGAGCAACTGCCTCACGCCGGAAGAGCGCAATGATAGTGGGCCAGTAAAGCAACGTCCTCCACAACTAGATTGAAGAACAAAAGGACAGCAACTTGTCTGTTCCCCTTCCCCAATCTTTAAAAAAAAAAAAAAAAACATAAACACCATTTAAAAGAGGAATATTTTGTGACATGTGACAGTCATGTAAAATTGAAATTTCATGAATGATAAAGTTTTATTGGAGCACAGCTGTTGGTTTATGTCATGTCTATGGCTGCTTTCATGCTACAATAGCAGAGTTAAATAGTCACAACAAAGACATATGGTCTGAAAGCCTAAACTATTTCCTTCTGGCCCTTTAGAGAAAAAATCCACATGGCTTAGGCTACAGGGCTCATTTTCTGAGCTACAGATGGCATAGACTGAATTGTTCAACTGACTCATAATTAACAATAGTGAAAATAATCTATGAGCTTTCAGCCTATAACTTCAGTTGTCCTGCTGATGAAATTTACTTTTGGAGCTCAACTTACCTGATGAGATGAATAAGTGAAGAGACCACAGACTCATTCCATTTATCTTGACAAGGTTTAATACTGAGTTTTCAAGGCAGAATTTAATCCAAGAATTAAATTTTGGTATTTTAAAGATTTCTCCTAGTTTTGTATACATGTTAGATGATATTTAATATGCAAGTCTAAGTTCTTTTTATGACCCATAGCCTTAACCCAATAACCTTGTATCCACACTTATTTCTCATGATTCCTTTCAAATGGACTCATCTTCCTTTAAACCCACAAGGTTGAAAATTCCCCTAATGATTGTGGGGAGGAGGAGAAGAGGAAAATAAATTTCAGATCAGATGAATTAAGATCTCTAGCAACCACAAAGTATAAGAAAACGTATATCATCTCTCTGTCCTGCATCCCCAGTTGTACTATGAGAGATAACTCCAAACACTCTCACATATGATACTTCTTTTCAGCTTGAACTCTGACTAAAAGCTAAGGCCAATGTGGTGACGTGAGGCCTGCAAACATCCGGCCACAGCAGGTCACAGTGAGTTATCTCTCCATTAAAGCTCGCACACCAACCACTCAGCCATATGCTGTAACCGCCTGAATGGCCAATGCTCTGGGTGCTTTCTCTTTATCACTGACCTCTTCACATTTCGTTCCACTTTTCAGATTAGAAAATGGGTTAAGCATTAAGTTGTTATAATTCAGGAAAGATACAAAGAGGAAAAAAATTCTTCACTCTGATCCTAATAAAGGGGAAATGGAAACAAAGATACCATGACAGTCACATGACAAGCAGAATTCTTGAGGAAAAGGGGAAGGTGCATCAGACAGCAGCAGTCCTAGTACAATTTTAAAATAAATGCTCCCAAGACTATTGAAAAGAATAATTATAGTACCCAAATCATGTAAATACGTTCCTGTAAGTAAGTTCTTACTTAACAGGCAGATCAAGTAAGAACACATACCAAAAACCCTTTAACATGGTTTCATAGATACTAACTAAAAAACAATTAACGTGAATTCATATTTTAAAAGCTGGTTTTTTTTTAAAAAAGGAATAATTAGACCATTCAACATACCTCATTTAAGTATTTCCCTGCAAAAAAGGTTTGATAACCACACATTGATCTGAGGATTGCTGGGAAAGTATAAGGTTCTTGGGTCTTCTGCCAAGACTTACTACTGCAGTTCCCCTCTAAAGTGTTGTTAACAACGTGATGATTATGTGGGTACTTCCCTGTCAGGATACTGGCTCGGCTTGGGCAGCAAAGAGCGCTTGGCACATACTACAAAGGAAACAGAAGCAAAAAGGACATAGTTACACAAGAAAGATGGATTTCTCATCATTTCTAGTGAGAATAAAGAAAGCTGCTCAAAAGTAACTTCAAATTTCTAGTTTCCCATGGAATAGATTTTCTTTACACACAACACGCTTCTGAGCTGCTTTAAGTCCCATAGTGGAGGCAGTAAAACAGATAAAACAAACCAAGAGAACAGATTTCTTTTTCAGCTGGTTTCTTTCTGCAGGATAACGTAACAGTTATTCCAATCTCACCTGCCAAAGAAGTGTTTATATGCAAGGAGCACAGCATGGTGGGAGCTAGGTTTTAACCAAAACTAGACTACTACTTGAATGTAATGTAGCTAAGAAGTAGAGGGTCATTTTCAAGCTGACCTGTGGCTTTATATATTTCCTATATCACCTTGTACATGGGACACAGATTTTTTATTTTCCTACTCTAATTATGTTCCTGTTAGCAACTGTCGTCAATAGATTTACCACATTCTACCCAACAGTATTTGTATAACCCTTAATACACATTGCCACGTCACTTTATAGAAGTTAAGACTAGTTTATACCTGTAACAGCAAGGAAGGAATGCTCACTTGAGCACACCCTTGCCAAAATTACATATTATCCCTTTTAAATTCTGAGCATTTATTTGGCCTTTGAAATTGGATTTGACATTTTTAAATACTGGTGAGGAGGAACCTTCTCCACAAGCATATTGACCAACTGTGTTTATGCGAATGGTGTGTTCATGTGCTTTGTGCATTTTTTCTTCCCAGGCTGTTGGCCTCTTGTTACATAAAATTTGAGTTAAGGAAGGATTCAGTCATGGTACAGATACTTCCCATTTTTTACTTTTGCCTTTTAATTTTGTTAGATATTTGACTTTTATAATTTTTACATTGGCAATTCTTTTAATTCTTTCCCTTTTTTGTTTCCTGACGTATTTTTTGGCCAATACCCACACTGTTTACTGTATCTTCATATTACAGTTTAGTATCCAGTAGAGCAATTTCTTCCTTTAAAAAAATTACTCTGATTTTTCTAACCTAGTTATTATTCCAGATAACTCTGGAATCACTTAATTCAGCATAAAAAAATCTTACTGGGGTTCTGTTAGAATAAACATTTTATAATCTTGTGTCTTCCCACAGGAAATGATGTGCATATCTTCATATTAAGCATTTTTATTATATCACTCACAACTTTCTGTAGCTTTATTTAGGTCTTTACATAGATCTTAAGTAACCATTACTGGCCACCACCAGTCTATATTTTCCCGCTATATGAATGGCATCTTTTCACCCCGTATTTCTCTGGTTATACGGAAGAAAGTTTTATTTTTTCATTTCTACCTTACTAAATTCTATTCAATTTTTTTCCCAACAATTCTCCTGTGCTTTCTAGGTAGAAAATCCAAACAAGTAGAAATAATCATTTTGTCTTTTTCCAATAGTTTTGCCTCTTAATTTCCTACGACTTATGCCAACAACTAGACAGTTGAGAACAACATTAAGTGAGAAGTATGATGCCCTTTTCTCGTCCTGAACAGCAGTGACCCAAGACTTTCACCTGAGCTATAAGGTGTGCTATTTGTTTGAAGTGTTCATTATTAGGATGTATTCTTCCAATAGTTTAATAAATTACCAGGAAAGGATGCTAATTTCAGAGGAGTTCCAAGCCTCTATTGAGATGAACTATACTTATCTTTCTTTCAACTACTGACACCATGTTAGAGGACAGCATAACCACCATTATGTAGTACAGTCGCCCCTCTGTATCTGTGGGTTCCATATTCACAGATTTAACCAGTCGCGCGTTGAAAAGATTGGGGGGAGGGGAGTTACATTGTTGCTAATGTGAACTACGCGGTTAGGTCCATGATATGGCTGCATCTGTAGTGAACATGTACAGGCTGTTTTCCTTGTCATTATTCCCTAAACAATACAGTCTAACAACTATTTCCATAGTATTTACATTGTATTAGGTATTATAAGTAATCTAGAGATGATTTAAAGTATACAGGAGAATGTGCCTAGATTAAATGCAAATACTATGTCATTTTATTTAAGAGACTTCAACATCCACAGATCTGGTATCTGCCGGGGTGGGGGTGGTCCTGGAACCAATCCCTCACAGACACCAAGGGAAGACTGTGCTTACTGTAAGTCAGGCACTGATATAAGTGCTTGCTTTATATGTATCAGTTAACTTAACCTCACAAAAACCCTGAGATAGGTTTTAATAGCCCCACTGACAGAAGTGGAAAAGAAGGGACAGAAAGGTTAATAACTTGCCCAAGGTCACATAGCTAGAAGAGAGGCAGAGAGCACTCCAAACCAGATCCGGCTCGAGTCGGTGCTCTTAAGCATAATACTATGCTGTTGAATGATTTCCTGATACTAAGCTAGGCTACCACTTACGCGGGTATGTGCATGGTTCTTAGATTTGTTAGTATTTTGAGTCTTTGCATCTATGTTTATATACATATATTTGCTTTATATTACATATACTCGGGGTGCCAAAAAAATGTATACACATGACCGTGTATTCATCTTTTGTTATGGTATATATTATTACAATTTTAATAGTTTTTCCCTTTCTTAAAATGTGTATACATTTTTTTGGCACCCTCCGTATATGTATACACATATACACACACATATATTTATTGTTGGTTTTGTTTCGTTGCTATTATCTTTGTTAGGTTTGGCTATGAGGGTTAATGGGGCTTTGTAAAGTGGCCTGCAAGCTTTTACCATGGAACAGTTTACACAGCATGAATGTTATTTGGTTCTTACAATCCATTTTCAAACCACAAACAGTCAGGTTTGAAATAAAATTCTCTAGTTCTGAGTTGTAAATCAGACTGGCTTAGAAAATACCTGTAGTTAATCTTCAATTGATAGGAAGTAATATTTCAATTAATAGAATTTATATCACATTAAATAAAGACCCTCCTTCAGATCAGGCATTTAACTAGGAAAAAACCCCACACAGATAACACTACAGACTACCCCAAAGAGAGTGTGTCTTCTTAGAACATAAACACAATTGCAGTCTAACAAAATTATATTAGCTTCAAAACTTACAGCACTGGCGAAAGTCATCCCCATGTCTCCAATGAGAGCCTTGGTTTTCTTTAGTGGTGTCTGTAAAGTACATAATTATTATCTGTTTAACAATTTCTTCCAATAAACTATAGTTTATTTTTATAACACACAGACCAAAATTCATGCTTTTTGCATCTTATCTCAACCGTTTATTCCCAACTGATCAGCTCCATCTGACATGAAGATACAGCCAAGAGAGTGATTCTGGAGATGAAGCAAACAGGTTTTGCTACTCAGTTCTTTCCTATGCAAAAGTTCAGGGGATCATGACTGCAGGAAGGTAAAGTTCATAGCTGAGGCATTATTCTAGCAATGCTGATTGCAATGTAATGAAATTTTGTGCCCCTTTCTCATTTATCACCAGCCCGCTTATATAGGGCAGAAAGAACTATCTCTATTAATTCATTTTTAGAAGCAAGATATGGGAAACCATATAAAAGGACTGACCTTTATCATAAAAAAAGAGACTGACTCAAATATCAGACATTCAGTGGTAAAGCCCAGATGCACACTTTTCAACTATAAGTTCATGGCCCTCTATACTAGACAAATGACCTCAGGTAAGGACTTGAACCAGGTGGCAAACAGGTGTACACACAACCCTGTCAAGCAAAAGACTAGTCAGAAATTACTTTGTTTATATCTTTGCTTTTTAGCTTTTGTTCAAAATCTAAGACCCTGACAAATATAAAAAACAATATCACATCCTTGAATGAGGATAAATTTGTATGAAGATGGTCATTTAAATACAAATAAAAGGAACATTAATAATCTTTATTCAGATTCCAGACAGCAAGGAAGAACCATTGACGAGGTTCATTTTAGTTGTATTATGAGTCAGTTCGCGATGATTCTCAAGTACCTGTGAAATCTAAGACCACACTGAATGCAGCTTTAAGTGTATTTTGTTGTATAATAATTCCTTAAAGATAAATATATATATATATTAACAAGAGCCTCATTTTCAGAACTGTATGACATTTCCCCATTGTTTTATACATTGGGTTCTCGGAAAAGTCATAATGCCTTTTTGCAACGAAAAACACAGAAAAAATACGTCATGACTTTTCGGACAACCCAATATATCGCAGAAAACCTAAGGAGCCCATAAGCTCGAATGGACAAGAATTCTAACTTAAGAAGAGCTTTGATAAATTTCAGGAGTACATTGATAGTAAGTTCCAAGGAAATGCTAGAGGTATATAAGGTCTTTGCTAACCTTTAGAAGCAATACAACCAGCCATTACCTCCCACAAAACATCACTGGGTGCTACCCACAGGTAAAGAATATTGGGCTGAATAGAACACTGGTTGAAGAATCTGAGCTACAGTGAAGACACAGTGAAGCGAGAATGCAAAGTGTGAGAGAAAGGGCCACGTGAGTTGATTATATGGGACTTAATTCAAATTGTTGGGTAAATATGTGAAACTACTGAAGAGTATCTGATTTACACTAAGACTATACTGGTACTTATAACACATTTGTTAAACACTTAATTTGTGCCACACACTGATCTAGGCAATGGTGGACAAGAGACAGAAGGTCCTTGTCCCAATAATCTTCGTTCTCTTGGGGACTTAAACAACTAACAGGTGAAGAAACAATCATTTTGGGCAGTGAGAAGTGCTACGAATGGAATAAGCAAGGACGATGTGCTTACATGTGGTGGGAGGAAAGGGGGAAACTACTTTAAATGGGTGGTCAGGAATGGTCTCTTTCAGGGGGTCACTTCAGTACTGACAGTCACACGATGAGTCAGCCATGCAAAAGTCCAGGAGAAGATGCTTATCGGCTAAGTGAATAGCAAGTACAAAGGCTGCCAGAGAAGGGAAGAGGCACGTGTGGGGGCAGAAAGGCAAACGGTGCGGCAGAAGCAGTGCAGTAAGGGGAGAGTGGGATAAGACAAGGTCAGAGGGTTAGGTGGAAGCCAGAGGATGATGCAGGGCTGCACAGGAGTCCAGATTTTTAATGTGAGAAATTTATATTAGGAACCATAACCTTTAGATGGCTAATAGTCGTACAAGTGATAACCATAATCTGTGCTTAATCAAACAAGTCCCAAACAAGAAACCACACTACCGAAAATGTGTATGCATGTCCATACTAATCTGAATGCTAACATGGATCCTTAAGATCTAAGCAAAAATGGTGGCTGGTGAGATTAAGGCCATACAACATTCTTTAAGAAGCAGCCAATCTTATATTCGCATATGGGTAAATGTGTTACTCATTCAAAGCAAAATCCCGTCCATAAAAAACCTAAGGACTCATTTACTTTCCTGGATCTCACATATAACTGCTCTGAAATAAAGTTTTGACAATTCTCATAATTCTATAGTTAACTTTTCTTTTAACAATGGAAAGTCATTTTGCTTTAAGCAATGTAAAGACATGATGTACCGATTGTTCTCCTACATTTCATTATGGCTTCTTCCCTCACTTCCTTAAAATGTTGACCAAATGTCACTTTTTCTGAATGATTTTTAAAAGATCAACCTGTGCTTCTGTGAAGAACAGTGTATCTGTCCATCACATCATAATGACATTCAAATAAAATCAAGAAATAGATAGGAACAGTTCCATGGGCAAAAAAAACTAAAAACGGAGTATCCCAGATGATACCTACAACAAATATAGTGAAATATTCAAGATGATGCTGCCACATAAAAGACTATTTCAAAGATGAAAGATTCCCCATTAAACCACAATCATAAAATTGCTATAATCCTTTCACCTGAGTTAGTCTGGGGGATTTACTATTGTTTATTTTGCCAACTATAGCAGCAATTAGTAATTTTTTGGGGTCAGAGACCTCCTTCTTTCCACAAAAATGAAGATAATATACATAAAGTATTACATGTAAAATTAAGGAGTTCATGACCCCACTGGTGACCCTGAATGTCACCTGAAGAATCTCTGATCTATGGTATAAGTAACCATGCTCATGTGGGTATGTGGAATGACACTGGGTAAGTCAGTATGATCACAGTATTCTCCAATAGGAGAAAAAAAGCATGGGGTTCTGAGATCATAAGACACCAGTCTTCGCCCCTCATTAGCTCTATGAACTTTGGCCAAGTGCTTAAAGCCCTCTAAATTACAGTTTCCTCTTCTTTAAAACAAGGACAATACCTACAGTAGAGGACTCCTGTGATAACTGAAGCACAGGTATAAAACACCTCACACTCCGGCTCCAAGTAGGATCTCAAATACTGTTACTGTCTTAGCATTTCCCCTTCAAGTCCTATCTGACAACTAGTCATAGAATATTCTCAAAAAGGCTACAAGATAAGCAAGAATTCTCAAGAGAGTTGGGAGCACTGAATTTGACGTGTTCCCTCCATTCAATTTGGGCTCTTCTGTCAAGTATAAACACCTATAAAAAAGAGCCTGCTATGGTTTAGAGAAGCAAATAGGATTAACATGCTAAGGGGAAGAAACCTCAAATACGTGTACACAGATCACATCTGTGGTCTACAAGAATTGAAGAAACGAAATTCTGAACACCACACCTTATATTTAAGCGATGAATTTTGTTTTCAACAGATATGCGAAAGCTTTACCTTTTAATTATGCTTTAGTCACTAAATGATTATTAATTTCTGGGTAAAATATTTTTCAAGGACACAAAAGATTTTTTTTTTCTAAATGAGTTTTGTGAGGAGGTATAACTGTTGGAATGGTGGAAAAAACAAAAATAAAATCCAGGAGGGCAATTAAGTCAAGACTCGTCAATGTCAACGTGGCTGAGTAGAAACTAAAAGGCAATGAGGCATATGTGGCAGGAAGTGCGGAGTCAAAATGCAAGCATTTTAGACATCAGCTAGAAAAGACTCATATTCTGAACACAGCCCTAAGAAATACATTTTAATGCACACCCCAGAAATATATACGTGTGGATATGCTTACCTTTATCACATGTACCACATAGACATTTTATTTTCTAGTCTATTCCATATGAAAGTGAAAATGCTGGTAGCTACTCACTAAACTGACTTCACACCTCACTAATAAGTTGAAATCAGCAGGATGAAGGACACTGAGATAGGCTACTAGTTACCACACAGTAAAAGGTAGGAATGGCTTGCCTGAAGTGTTTTCATAATCTCAGCATTCAGCGGAAAGCAAAAAGAGAACTGAAAGGAAGAAAGCAACAAAGCACTTGTTCTTAAAAAAAGGAATACCAACCTAAGATCAGAGCACTAGTCAGGATTTTGTCTTGACTGCCGCAACTATTTACGTGCCTTGGGTGAGCCACTTTCTGGGCCTCCATGAATAGGGGGTTGACTGATGTTCTGAGGGTCATAAACGTCAGAACTCTAAGATACGGAAGCAAAATTAACTCTGGGAAAGAATGAAGTTTCAGGACAACTACCCATTTGATATAACATGGAACGACAGTAGCTAATGCATCAGCCAGGTGTTCAATTAAGCTAATTGGATTTTCTTGATTCTTTTGAGGCAAAGCACACCCTGAATAGTTCGAAAACCTACCCTCCAGATTAGTTCATTTCAGCACTTATTTTATACATATCAGCCAGACACTGTACACAGGGACAAAGGTTTCCTAGGTCCTCACGGAAGGGGCTTGACTTGTCCTCTGATCCTCTAATCCCAAAGAAAAACCACCAAGACTTGCATGGTCTTAGCCAGCACCTGCTCCTCATTAGGTCAACCCATCCCTCACTGGCGTCCACCTGTTTATCTTGAGCTATGAACGCCAACTCCGCAGCAGTAAGATCCAAATTAGAAGCTCTGAGTGGTGGGTGTACGTGTGTCAACCCTGAAGAGCAGCGAAGAAAGAAGAGGACATAGACTCCTGCGCCCCCTCAGACCCGCATAAAGGGCCTGGCTTGGTAAAAGCAAAACCTGCCCAGGGTCAAGGCAGCCAGTTCAGGGAGTCGGGGTGGCGACAGGAAAAGGGCAAGAAACCAGAGAGTCAGCCCCAGAGATGGAGGGGCGGGGCAGAAATAGAGAGAAGAGTTACCATGCCGCCGAGCACTTCGTCCTGGTCGTCGGTGAGGAGCAGCACCACATTGGGCCTCTGAGAGCTCGCTGCCACCGGGAGGACCCCCAGGCAGCAGCCTAGGAGAAGCAGCAGCAGCAGCGCTGGGCTGCAGGAGGGCAGGTGGCGGGGGGCGCGCCGCCGGGGCCCACCAGGGACCATAAGCAGGAGACGCATAGTGGACAGGGCTCCGGGGGGACCCCGGTACTGTGCGGAGGGACGCGCAAGAGGCTGAAGGGCGAGTAGCCGCTGAGCCGCAGGAAGAAATGGCTGTACCGTGAAGGCCGGGGGTTGCGGGTCAGGCGTTTTTCTCCCCAGGCGCGATCACGTGAGCCGGGGAGGGGGGCGGGGCACGCCGCGCGGCCACGTGACGGGCGGCCGCGGCGGTGGGGCTGCGGACCAATAAGGGAGGGTGGGCGGGAGCAGCCAGCAGGGGAACCCGGAAGTGGCCCCCCAAGTGGCGAGGAAGCCGGCGGAAAGCGGCACCCGCGTTTACCTCAGGCTCAAGCTCCGGCTGGGTTGTGGTAAGATCTGTTTCTGAGCACTTGGTGCAAAAATTAAAATGGAGGGAAGATAAGATGAAAAGGAGAGGAGAATCAGGTAACAGCGATTAAGGGAAAGCAGGAGTAGACTTACCAGATAAGTGAGATCAGCTGGTGGGCAAAGTCTGGGCTCGACCATGTTTAATTCCCCCAAATCAACGAACACTAATTGAGGGCCTTTATATTTAATCATTTTAAAATTTTCTACAACTCAGCAATTAAATTTTGGAGCTGGCTTACAAGTCAGGTCTCAACTCCAGGCTTGGTTATGTTATTCCTCAGCCGTTAACAGTGGCTTTCAACAAACGCAACAACTTCGGGATGTCCTGGCAGCCTAATGTTCCCTGGTGAATTTTTGAAAGCCCTCTTAGGAGATACTGAAGTATGTGCACATTGAACAAAAACAAAGCCCCTGAACCATGGTCACCCAGCCACATTATTAAGTAATCCTTAGGAGAAAAATTCCATGAAATTGGGCCTCCAGACATTTCTGTGGTAGCTCTAGCCCCAGCTCTCCCATGCCCCTCTGCTGAAGTCTATGAAAACAAATATTCCTGGCAAGGTGAACGAACGGTCAAGCCTTATTCCCAACTCAGAGCAACAGGCTGTACCTCCTGGCTCCTAACAAAGTGTATTTTCTCTAAGCTGGACCATCGAACACAAAAAGTCTTTCAAAACTTGTGAAAACACTATAATGTGTGGACAGGAAAGGGGCCACATGTTAAACCTGACAAGCTCAGGAGACTGAAAATAACCACAGAGGATGGTGTGAATATAAAAATTCTTAACTAAGGTGGGCCATGGCGGGAAGTCACATCCTTGGCCTGTAGCTTCCTTGACAAAGGTCAATCTTTACCCTAAGCCTGTCTGCCGTCTTTTTTGCATCTAAGATAACATACCCTTGCAATATCAGAGTAATTTCTTTTTCTGGACCCCCAGGGGGCACAACCCACCACACCAGAGCAGGAAACTACAGAATCCCTTGTTATCTTGTTCCCCAAATACTATCTCTATGTGCTGTAAAATGCTATTAACTATGCTGTACCCACCAATGTAAAAGAAGTGTGTGTCTATTTTACTTTTTATCCAATCCCAGAGATTTCCCCACTTTGCTTTCTACCACCCCCTTAATCTACAACCAATGGACTTCATGTAACCCTCCTCCTTTGATTCTAGTGTATAAAATAAGTTGCAAAACGGCCATTTTCCAGAGCATTTTCTCAATCCGTTGAGATTTTGCTTCCCGGCAATTGTCAGTTTGGCTCAAATAAACTCTTATAAGTTTTCTCTTAGGCTGGATGTTTGTCGTCAACAACTATAAGGTAAAAATAATTGTGGAAGTACTTTGAAATGCCAAAAGGATGTGTTGCTCCAGTTTTCTACCTGGAGGTACATTCTGACAAGGGAGCCAGAAAGGATCCCATGTAGAACAAAGTTGAGTTGAGCGGACAGAAATTAAGTTTAGGGGAGGCTAAGGCAGCTGGAAGTTGTGGGGCAAGTTCCAAAGAGGAGGAAGCTATGTAGATTAAAAGCTCCATAAATCTGCATAGATAATACTTTTCAGACCTTGTTGAACAAAAGGTGTGCATGCATAGGGTGAAGGCATAAGGTAAGAATGAATAAGATGTAATAATTCTCAAAGGAGTTGGAGATGTTTGAGAATCAGCCAGAGGGAAAGTCTTTCTTAATCATAAGAGGCATTCATCCGAGAACCCAGAAAGGTTATATTTTAGTAGTAGAGCTAAACTATTACAAGTGAAAAGTACTGTACACCTATGATAACAAAGTTTAAATACAGTCTCAAAATATCAAGCTGAGCTGCAAGAAACATAACTTGCCTGCCAAAACAACGTCCCCAATCTTTAAGGAAAGACTACAAAATCTAAATACTCACAATATGAAATTCACAGTGTCCTGCATCCAATAAAAACAGTAAAGACACAGGCCCCCAAACAGGAAAATCTGACCAATAACCAGGAGAAAAATTAGTCAATAGAAACAATAAATGACAGAGATGAAGTAATTAACAAATCAGTGTGTTAAAACACCTAGTATATGGCAGCATTATTTACAATAGCCAAGACTTGGAAACAACCAAAATGCCCATAGGTAGACAACTGGATTAAGAAACTGGTACATTTCTACAATGGAGTATTACTCAGCTATAAAAAAGGATGAAATCATACCATTTGCAATGGTATGGATGGACCTAGAGAACATTATGCTAAGTGAAATAAGTCAGTCGGAGGAAGACAAATACCATATGATCTCACTTATATGTGGAATCTAAAGAACTGAATAAAAGCAAAGCAAATAGAAATAGTCTCAGAGATATAGAGAAAAAAACTGATGGTTGCTAGATGGGAGAGGGGTGGGGATGAGGGAGAAGGGGAAGGGATTAGACAGCATAAAACTACAATATTGCTATAGGGATATGAAAGACAGTTTGGGGAATATAGTCAATAATGTAAATATTTTGTAGGGTGTCAGATGGACACATGTCTTGTTAGGGAGACTACTTCATGGATGGGGTAGAGGCCTGACCACTGCACTGTACACCTGAAGCTGATGTTGAATAATATTGTATATCAACTATAATATATATATATATATATATATATATAGTCACAGGATATGGAGTATAGTGTGGGGAGTGGAGTCAATGGAATTGTAATAGATATATATGATATCGGGGGGGCAGTGGTTTGGGGGAGGGGGCTTGTCACTTTGTGAGGGGTGAAAAGTATAACTTGCATTGTTTTGTACACCTGAAACTAATTAAAAAATTTAAAAATGAAACAAAACAAAACCCACCTACTATAATTATATGTCATGATGTAGTTTCAACAGATTTAGACTGGGCATCCCACAGAACATCACATCCACCCATTACATTGATGACATAATGCTCATGCAGGATGAACAAGGGGCAGCTGACATGCTGGAATCTTTGATATGACACATGTGCTCTGGAGGTGGGAGATGGACCTTGTGAAAATTTAGGGACTTGGGACTTTAGTAAAGGATTTTAGGGGTTTAGGGACCTGCCAGGACATTCCCTTCAGAGAAAAACTGCTGCATCTTGCATTTCTTACTACAAAGAAGGAAGCACAGTGCTTGGTAGGCCTTTTTGTATTCTGTATGCAACCCATTCTACCCAAGAACTGCCCCCAGCCCCCAGCCCATACAGAGTAGTTCCCCCTTTTCCACAGTTTCACTTTTTGCAGTTTCAGTTACCCACGGTCAACCATGGTCAGAAAATATTAAATGGAGAATTCCAGAAATAAACAGTTCATAAGTTTTAAATTGCATGCCGTTACGAGCAGCTTGATAAAATCTTGCACCACCACCCTCTGCCCCACACGGGGCATGAATCATCCCTTTGTCCAGCGTATCCACGCTCTATACACTCCCTGCCCGTTAATAACTTGGTTATCAGATCGACTGTCGAGGTTTCACAGGGCTTGTGTTCAAGTCACCCTTATTTTACTTAATAATAGTCTGAGAACACAAGAGTAGTGATGCTGGCAATTCAGATATGCCAAAGAGAAGCCATAAAGTGCTTCCTTTAAGTGAAAAGCTGTGCACGTATAGGAAAAAACAGTATATAGAGAGTTTAGTGCTATCCCTGGTTTCAGACATGCACTTAGAACATATCTCTCCCCCACATATAAACGGGGTGTACTGAGTGACATGAAAAGCTGCCAACTTTGAGTGGAGTCTGGAGCAGCAAAGCACTTTAGCGGACAGGGCTGGCTACATAATCTATGGGGCCCAGAGTGCAATAACAATGCAGGACCCTTTGTTTAAAAAAAAACAGGAAAAAAGTGCCACTGAAGGTACTAAAATATAAACCCTTTTCTTTTAAAAATATCATATTACTTACAAAATGCAATGGGGGATTATAGTGATACATAAGTAACATGATCATCTTACAAACTAAAAAAAATTTTTGGTGTTAATTTATAATAATACAATAAATAATAATTCCTTATTGTGATACCTTGATTTATTATATGATTTTTCTTGCTTTCCTGCAAATCTATTTCTTAGGCCATCAAAATGTATACTTTTAGCAACTTCATTTTTAATTTATATAATTGAAAGCAATGTCAGTTCTTGGCAAATGAATGATCAATAATTTTTGATAACATCAAATGTTGAGGAGGATCTTTCTTCCAATGTAATTGTTACTGGAGCTATTAAGTGTATTTTATAGGCTATATAACAATGTATAACAAAATTTTGATTGATTATTTCAAAATAACAGTTTTAACAATGTAGAGCTGGAACAATTTTTCTAAAAATGTGTGACTCTCCCTACAGGTCAGTTTATTTAGATATGAATTTAATTTTAAATGTAAATCATAAATTATAATTTTGCAATTAAAAAATTATAACTGGTATAATAGTTACATTGTAATTATTTCCTCTGACATTTTCTGTAACTGGTAAAAGGCGTACACAAGAAAGTTGAAGTGGCTTCAAGCTTTTATATAATTCAAAGTGCCTGTTTATGCATTCTGTCACTGCATCTTCAATTATAAGGAAAAATTAATTTTAAATTGTCTTCGTCCTTAATAATTGGCATATCTGGAACTTCATATGATGGTGCCAACTTGGGCCAGTGAAGCAACGTCCTCCACAACTAGACTGAAGAACAAAACAACAGCAACTTGTCTGTTCCCATCCCCCCAATTCCCCAATAAAAATCTTGAAAAAAAATGTCACTTGAGTACAGGTGAGAGATCAGAATTTTGTTGCCCAGCTGATATACATTGAGCA